TTCTAAAACTTTAACAATATCATTGCTGTGAATATTTCATGATTTTCTCTGGCTATTGATTGAATGAAGCACTGGCCCGTCGCTAGAGGGTGATCAATTTTTGATATATTCCAGGGGTCCAAAGTTGACCCAAAATTACTTAAAAGTGTTCAACATGGTGAGAAAATGTATGATTTTGAAATAATCTTTAAGCAAAGCCCTGAGCTCTCCTTCCATCACGAGGGACCTGAATCATAGTAAAGCCAACAAAATATTCTAAAAAGCAAGCCCAAAATGATAATTTCAGCAAGGGTAAATTTGACTTATCATTGGGATAACACCATTGACTGACAACATCGGGGTACCATCACATAAATTATGTCGATAAGGGGATAGATCCAAAATCCTCATTATCTCAGAAGAACTCAAGTTTATCGCGTCTCCACAAGTAGATTCATGTTGGATAGTATTGCTAGAATCCATTTTCAATAGTAACTATAGGGGTTCTTAAACATGACATTAACGCTTAACTAGAGCTTTTTTGGATTTTTTGGTTAGCTATCCATTAGGATATTTTCTCTCAGAAGAAGGAAACCAATGCATTTACCTAGTATTGCGATGTCTGAATAACCATTTGGATTCAGAGTTGTAAACTCAGTTATCGAGGATCGATTGAAATAATCCACACAATGTGCACAATTTGAACCATTTGGAAACAGTTGGTTGTAAAATGCTGGTTATGGACAAACAATGACTTAAAGCTTTTTAAGTACATTCATGCAATGTTCCAGAGGATGGTGATGATACAATCATTCCTGGTTCAGCTGTGGCTGCAACAACCACCGATGGCTCAGCTGTGGTTGCAACAACCACCGATGGTTCAGCTGTGGCTACAACAACCACCGATGGCTCAGCTGTGGTTGCAACAACCACCGATGGCTCAGCTGTAGCTGCAACAACCACCGATGGCTCAGCTGTGGTTGCAACAACCACCGATGGTTCAGCTGTGACTGCGACAACCACCGATGGTTCAGCTGTAATTGCAATAACCACCGATGGCTCAGCTGTAGCTGCAACAACCACCGATGGCTCAGCTGTGGTTGCAACAACCACCGATGGTTCAGCTGTGTCTGCAACAACCACCGATGGTTCGGCTGTGGCTGCAACAACCACTGATGGTTCAGCTGTGGCGGCAACAACCAGCGGAGGTTTTGCTATGGAGATATACATGTATCGTAAGATGCATTCCTTCTAAATATATTTCAAGTTATTTAACTAAATGTGTGACGAGTAATTATGAAATATAATATCTTCAAAATATAAGAAATTCTGAAATAAATAAATAGACTTAGATGCAAGCAGAAAAAAACTCGATTTACGTCATTAAATATTCAAAATTCACTCAAAGTGATAACATATTTGAAATCTACATCTGGTGGTGAAACTACTAACTACCTACGCGCATCTGGTTTATTGAATTGAAAAATAACAAAATATTTTTCTTCTTTTCACACACAGATATTGACCAGATCGTTTTGTAGTAGGATCTCATAGGCTCAAAGAATAATACAATTATATTTATTGAGCTACTGATCCTACTACATAAGAATCTGGCCGGGATCTATGTTTTCACAACCTTTATTTTACTAACTTATAAAAACTGAACTGAAGCGTTACAAAACAATTAAATAAAAACATTAATACGTCATATTAATTCACCAAAAATTCATTCCAAATTCCCGCCAATTTATGGTTCCCTTGATCCCTGTTCATATTATTCCATCTCTCAAGTCTCTTATTGTCATTGTCCAAAACCGTAGTATTGTTCCAGTCCATTACGCAATTATTCTGTAGGACGTGGTCCGTAATGGCTGATTTATTCATCACCCCTCTCATATTTTCTTTTGCTTGGCGCGTGTAACGTGAATTGTCCCTCGAATCTGCTTTCAATGGTCTTGAGGATATACGATTTGTTACACGTTTTGCAAGGTACCTCATAAATAACTCCTGATTTATCATTAATGTCTATTTTGTCTTTAGGGTGGACTAACATATTTTTCAGAGTCAACATTAATAATTAGAGTAATATTGTTTATATTTAATTGTTTTGTAGCGCTTCAGTTCAGTTTTTATACAGTTGAAAAAGGATCCAGACAGGATCCGAAACGTCCTGGTTAGTAAAATAAAGCTTGTGAAAAGAAGAAAAAAAATATTTTTGTGATTTGATTATCCAACCTGAACATGTTTAAGAACAAAATATCTGTGATTAATTTTAGCATGTGGGGTATCAACAACTCAAATTGGCATGCTAACGTCTCCAAACTACCCAACTAAATACCCATTTAATATGATATGTGTCTGGACCATTGATGTCTCTGGGGCTGGGGGATATATTCAAATACAATTCAATGACTTTGAAGTAGAATTTGAAGATGACTGCTTGTTTGATAATGTCAAGGTAAGTACTCAAAAGTGTCACCCAACAAGCGATGCAACTAATTTCCACTGGAAAATGTACCAGTAATATGTAATAGAACTGTTTGATTTTCCATTGACGAAGTCATGAATTTGAAATTCCTATCAATTTATATTCGTAACATAGAGTGATTTAATTCAATAAGATAGATCGATAATCGTAGATATGAGTTGGTAATCCAATGGGAAACACTACTCTCTCAGATTTAAATAATATTTAACGTTTCAGCTGTACGATGGTATGGTTCTTATGGCCTGGCTATGTGGCTCAATGGCAGACATCAGTCCTGGTACATTAACTTCATCGGGAAGCATTGTTTATATAAGATTCTTCAGTGATTACAGTGAAAAACGTAGAGGCTTTTCATTAACCTGGACCACCCTTTAATGGTATGTATACTTAAAGCATGAATGTATGAAAGCAAAATTGTTAGCAACACGTGTTTAAACCTTTTCCTGTAAGGTTTTACTAATGAAGATATTTTTGTGGACAGACCCAAAACGGTAACAGGACAACTCATTCCTAAGATAACTCATCCCAAGACACTCATCCTCAAGACATTTCATCCCAAGACAACTCATCCGAAAACATCTCATCCCAAGACATCTCATTCCCCCAAGACAACTGTTCCCAACTTTAATATTTGTCAACTTAATGTTCTATTTGAATATTTTCACCAACGAGTACTCCTGCGTGATAAAGCATATTATAAATACGTTTGAGCTTTCATGTAAGATATCGTAAAGAATTTACATTCCGTGGTATCACCTAGGATGAAGTTCATCCTATGTATCACTAGTATACAGTTATTAGGGAGGTTAACGTCAGTAATCCCTGGGAGTCATAACCAATGAAGTTCATCCTAGGTATCACTAATCCAATGACGCAAATTGCGACTTTTACAATGAGTTAGCTATCCATGTCTTCCTGATAAATTTTCCCTTTATGGGACTCTGTTTTAGGAGGCATCGATGCACCAGTAGAGCACCAATGCACCGAAAAAGAATTACGAAGATGGCCGAAGATGTTTCAAGGAACCAATCAAATTCCTTGATCTAATAGTGGTCTTCGGCCATTTTCGATTACGGTCCAAAAAGTGTTACCCTTAACATAACGTGGAGTGCACCGATAAAATAACGAAGATGGCCGAAGATGTTTATTTCACGAATATGTCCGAAGATGTGAACATCACGAAGATGGCCGAATGCAGATAAAGAACAATTGTGAGAAAATAAAAATAACATTGATGGATATGTTTCTACATTCCTATACAACAAGCAAAGAATAACGTCAGATAACAGGAAGGTTAATCTTAAATATACACCTTGGTTGCTTTCATTTATGTTGAACCCAATAAGGTACATTAACCTTCCATCTCAAAATCTGCTTGACCCCACCATTGGATTAGCATGGGAAATTTCTCCAAGAGAATATTCTAGGGATTGAAGAATTGGTGCAGTTTACACAATTTGAGAAATTATTGGCATACATGAAACCTTTTTTTTAAATAACATTTATTTTCCCTTAAAATTAACGTACAATTATACATTAACATCAATCATACAAATAAACATACATGTCTACAAATTTAATATATTTTGTTTATGAATACATGAAACCTAATTTAAACAGCATTTACATGTATATTATTCAAAAGCGTAGAGCACATGATTCCCAGCCCTATCTGAAGTTTGAAAAATAAAAATACCTGGGTGTTAATCCATGGATAATCCTTGAAAATGAGAAATATTTTTTAGGATTATATGGTGCAATTGTATAGTCAATAAAATGTTTTAAAGTGTATTGATGTTTTTAAGATGAAAAACATAAGCGAAATGCATGGAAAAACTCCCCCAAGGCATTCTTCAAACAACTCGTGCCCCTTTGCTTTTCCTATTTATATCATGGATCATGTTCTTAACATCAATCTTAATCTGCAGTGAGATCATCATATATTGCGCAGCTCTATTTATTTATACGTCCATAAGTGTGATATTAGGGAGTTTAAGCTTGCAATGTTTTTCACAAACTAAACGTGAACGGAAAATATTTTAAGCGATGCATTTGTATGGTCGATTGGTCATGCGTATAGGTTGGCGTTTCGATTTTATATGCAAGCTTAAACTCCCTGTTCTTATAAATCGTTGTCGTAAGAATATCACTACGGACGTATGGGGCTGCGCAATAATGATGACGTGATTTAAGTGTTTTATTCTTATAAATCGTCGTCTATACGTAAGACTATCACTACGGACGTATAGAGCTGCGCAATAATGATGACGTGATTTAAGTGTTTTATTCTTATAAATCGTCGTCTATACGTAAGAATATCACTACGGACGTATAGGGCTGCGTAATGATGATGACGTGATCAAATGCTCGATAAGTTACACGTTATACAGGAATGATAAGCATGTTATAAGTGAGTCGCGAAATCTCTCCACTGTCTCCCGCAGTTGAACCTTATTTTAACAAGGTCACCCGAGTATTATTATAACCTTTAATATGTCATATAATCTATATTTATGTTGTACATTGTATGGTACAACATAGCGTACAACGTGAATGGTAATAAAGTGTCGTTTAAGCCGACTTAGTTAGATCCAATTTTAAGACAACATAAGAAAATGTCTGTGAAGATACGAGAAGCTCGTCTGGAAGATTATGACGGTGTCATGGATATAAACAAGGATGTCTATGAAGGGCTCGATTACTTACCTTACAAGTATAAGATGTACATCAAAGAAGGGCAATCGAAAGGGAACCGAATATGCCTCCTTGCAGAGACCAACGAAGGAAAAATCGTGAGTATTATTACACTTATATAATGAAGGGGTCGATTACTTATCGTACAAGTATCACATGTATATCAAAGAAGGGCAATTGGGCAATCGAAAGGGAACCGAATACATGTATGCCTCCTTGCAAATACCAACGAAGGGAGAATCGTGAGTAGTATCACACTTATATAATGAAAGGTTCGATTACTTATCGTACAAGTATAAGATGTACATCAAAGAAGGGGAATCGAAAGGGAACCGAATATGCCTCCTTGCAGAGACCAACGAAGGGAAAATCCTGAGTATAATCACACTTATATAATGAAGGGGTCGATTACTTATCGTACAAGTATCACATGTATATCAAAGAAGGGCAATTGGGCAATCGAAAGGGAACCGAATACATGTATGCCTCCTTGCAAATACCAACGAAGGGAGAATCGTGAGTAGTATCACACTTATATAATGAAAGGTTCGATTACTTATCGTACAAGTATAAGATGTACATCAAAGAAGGGGAATCGAAAGGGAACCGAATATGCCTCCTTGCAGAGACCAACGAAGGGAAAATCGTGAGTATAATCACACTTATATTATGAAGGGGTCGATTACTTATCGTACAAGTATCACATGTACATGTATATCAAAGAAGGGCAATTGGGCAATCGAAAGGGAACCGAATACATGTATGCCTCCTTGCAAATAGCAACGAAGGGAGAATCGTGAGTATTATCACACTCATATGATGAAAGGCTCGATTACTTATCGTACAAGTATCACATGTATATCAAAGAGGGGCAATCGAAAGGGAACCGAATATGCCTTGTTGCAGAGACCAATGAAGGAAAAATCGTGAGTATTATCACACTCATATAATGAAAGGCTCGATTACTTATCGTACAAGTATCACAGGTATATCAAAGGAGGGCAACTGAAAGGAAGGAGAATATGCCTCCTTGCAGAGACCAACGAAGGGAAATCGTGAGTATTATCACACTCATATGATGAAAGGCTCGATTACTTATCGTACAAGTATCATATGTACATCAAAGAAGGGCAATTGAAAGGAAATAGAATATGCCTCTAAGCAGAGACAAATAAAAAATTCATTGGGGTGTTTGAGCGTTTTGAAAACGATCATATGGCACTCTCTTATTCTAAAAGGCAGGGAAAGGTAAAAAGAAAGAATATATTCTGGATTTTGAAGCCCTGTGATCGGAGGTTGCTAGAGTAAAGTATATAAGAAGTTGGAAAAACATCTGTTTAGCGAGCGGTGGGCAATGTTCGGATTTAGATTCCTGATCAAATAGAGAACAAGTTATTGAAGATTTTGGACCCAGAGATGCCAAGATTCATCGCTTTTTAAAATGGAACGCATCCACTATTCCAAGAAAATTCAACAGTTATCCTTTAACAACTGCTGTTCTTTTAGAAAATAGAAATGGCGTGAACTATTGAGAACAAAAAGACAATTTGTTCTAACTCGACTTTTAATTTGTCTATTTTCCTTTTTTTAAGATTGCGTTTGGAATGGCCTTTCTTGTGGATGATGGTAATACTGCAATCCCTCAAGCTGCGAGGGTCCATCCTGACTATGGCTCAAAAGGAATCAACAATACGTTGGGAAACACACTATTCGCTAAATGCAGAGAGAAATATAAAAACACAAAGATTGTTTCAACGACATGGCACACAGAGATTTGGGAAAGACGAGAACGCGAAGGAACGAGTCCAATGATGATGACTGCTCGGTCGGTAAGTAAGATAAAAAACAAAGGTTCTGGACCGATATAAAGATGGCAGCACCAACAGAATCCAGTATTATATTTTTCACAGATCGATTACCATGCCATCTTTATTTAAAAATTATTCCTATCGGCCTTTGCATATGATGATAAAAAATGTTTGTAAAACACTTGATTAACTACATTGTACATCAGATATTCCATTTGTTGTTATTGTACAGTAATTTTGGTGATTGATTTTGTTGAAAATATTTTATTTTTGCTATGTCAAAGGTTTATAATACATTGGCCAGGGCCGTAGCCAGGATTTGCCAAGGATTTTTGAAAAATTCGCGGGGGGTTCACTTGTGACAATTTTGGTCCAAAAATGGCCAAAATCACTTAAAGGTGCTCAGAATGGTGAAAACTGCATGGTTTTGAAAGATTTTTTGACCCCCCCCCCCCCCTAGGCTACAGGCCTGCCTACATAGTCGGTAAGTACACTGTTGAAAACAGCAGCCGACATCGTCTTAGGAGAACAATGCACAAATAAATTGTATTTATTGACATAGGAGTTTTGGTAACATGTAGTTGATCAAAATAAATAATTGATTTGCTTTTATATTTTTTATTTTAGACTCGAATATCCTTTGAGACTGAACCACTTCCCCTGTCAATTGCATTGGAGAAAGCCTACAGACACAGTGAGGACTTGAGCAAACTATTTGAGAGAACCTTGGTTCTTTCAAGAGATGACGCGAGAGAACTGCTATCCTCTCCTGAGCTTCGTGACTTCATAAGAACATCTGATTTTGTCTACAGCTGGGATGTGTTTAATTTGAAATTCGTCTCAAACGTCGAATGGATCATTCAATGCAACAATGCGATTGTTCGTACTCGGAACCAAGATGGCGCACTGCGTGGAGTTAGCATTGGGAATATCCTACCATGTAAACTCGGCATTCGGATATTTGTAGATATTTATTGTGCCGATGCAGATGTAGTTATTGCACATATTGTCAAACATTTACAGTTGCTACAGCAGTTCTGTAAATCATCCCCACTTGTTGGATCATTCTTCCTGCACCAGTGCTCCGCGAAGCACAAGACCGAGGTGAAGACGTTCCTAATGGAATACATGGGTTTAAAACCCAAGCAGAATTTAAATGAGAAAGATTTTATAATCTTAGAAGGAAACGCAGTTTCAAAGTTGTAATTAATTCCAGATAAATAACTAGCAGTTGTTTTCGTTCGGATAGTCAATGTTAGGGTACATGACTATTCACACAATGAAATACAATAAAATATAAACAATACAATATCATAACAATACAGTTCACTAATCTACACTATACAGGCCCGTAGCCAGGGGTGTTCAAAGGGTTCGAGCGAACTCCCCCCCCCCCTGGCCAAGATTTCTTTCAAAATCATGTAGTTTTTCACCATTCTGAGCACTTTTTGGGTGGTTTTGGCCAATATTTGGACCAAAATTGTCAAAAGTGACTCCCATGGAATTTTTTCAAAAAGTGAACCTCCCCTTGGCAAATCCTGGCTACGGGCCTGCTATCACACCGAAATAGCCTGACAAAGGTAAAGTCAGATACTGTTGTCACAAAAAGCGGACATAACCGTTGCTTCAACTCTTCAATCACTTGGTCCACATTTCTATTGACTTTATCATCGCTAAGTCTGTGCATGTATTAACTTTTTGGCTTTGGGAGAACGTTAAGGGTGTTGTTAAGTATGATTGAGGTATAACGATTAATAAGTGTATGGCTAGAGCTGAAAATGTTCGCGAGGTTCTATCGAAAGCTTCGAAGACCAGGAATGTACATGATGTAACGATGATATTGGAACTAGAGCTAACTACCTGTACGTTACTCACTTCGAGAGCCATGTTAGATTTTGAAACTTATGGCTCTCAAACGGAGAAGTGAACAGCTGATCAATAGTGACCTTTGAAATCGAATTAAGTCGATCCGCGGCTTACTTTTGGTCTCTAACTGTGTCTTACATCAGTATCATCAATCCGTGTAAGTATTGGAGCGCTGGAGTACTTCTTTTTCGATCAAGACTTGTAAATTGTTCATCGAGTTAAAGTTTTATAGACCTATTTCCAATATGGCGGTTTGCTAGGTGCGAGATACGCAACGAACGAAATGAATTTTGAGAATTAGTTAGGTTCGGACAACCTCCGGAGATTTACGAAAATGTCCGAGCAGAAACCGCCATATTGGAATTTGGCAGTAAAACGATTCACTCGACTAACAATTACAAGTCTTGATCGAAAAAGAAGTACTCCAGCGCTCCAATACTTACACGGATTGATGATACTGATGTAAGACACAGTTAGAGACCAAAAGTAAGCCGCGGATCGACTTAATTCGATTTCAAAGGTCACGATCATTGAGCTGTCCAAATGCTCCGTGGGAAAGCTATTATATCAAAATCCAAATAGCTTTCGCAGGAAGTAAACCAAGACTGCATTAGGTTTAGGTTTAGGTTCGACTTTGAGAGCATTGAGCAAAGATTTTATCCAAAGGCAAAAATGTCAATTTTGTTTATATACTGTATCAATCCTCAAAGAGATAATATGTTGCAATTTCTTACATCGTTATTATAACACTAGCGTTTAACGTAACCCGCACATGTCAAATCCAGAAATCTCCGGTCACTTTCTTTATCAGGAGAGCTGTCAACACATCTGATAAGAAGTGTTCTTAGCAGCTCTTGTGAAACTTGATGCTATGTTGGTCTAATACAAGATGCAGCCTACTTATAAATAAAATACGTTATCCATGTACGTAATATATGGTTCAACAAAAAACAGCAACTAAAAAACAACAACTAAATATGAGAAACTTATGTGGTGTATGCCATATTTATGTGTCTGATCATATAATCTTCAAATTATCCATCAATTTCTTAAGAAATTGGCGAAATTAAGGAAACCAGAAAACACATTTAATGAAAGGGCGGTGTTTATAGGCTGTATGAAATGCCCCTGCATTAACGCTCACATATATGAGTTTTAAACAATAATTTAGTAGACTAAAGTGTTGATACGAAATCTCAGTAATAGTACCAGTTAGGAGATAAGGTGATGTCCGATTTAACATTACGATTGCTGGATATGTACTACTCCGTAACGTGAAGATCATGATTCATGTATATCTATGCATCTTGGATTTCCAAGGTATGATTTTTTGAAAATCAAACTGGGAAACGAGTATGTATCTATGGGGGTTTTGGTAAATTCTTTAGATCTTTTATTTGATATATTTATCAAACACAAATGTTGTGAGTGGGATTTCATTTATGCGTAGACTTTTTCTTCGCCCACGAGGGAAGGGGGGTCTGCCAGTGATATACACTAGAATAAAATACAAATTGTTGTCCTATTCTTTCAATTCAACTACTATACATCTAGCTATATGAATTTATTATTGAAAGAACTCCCTGTGGAAATTCTCAATCCGATATTGATGTTTGAGCTTATCCTTTTTTAGTTTTGTGACTCAACTGAACAGGAAGGTACAAAGTTCCCTGGAAAATTCCTTGGAATCATCAAATTGACGATTTTTTCTATTTCGTCATATTCGCCAAATTAAAGTGGGATATAAATTACCCAATCGTTAGCCTGCATGAAATAGGCCCTACCATGACTGAGTAATTACGGACTTGCTATTCTACAAAAAGCTGGACTGTCATTAATGGAAATATAGAAGTGCACACAATTTTTTCAAGAGGACTTATCGCGTTCACTGATACTGTACCGAGCCCGCTATATACTATAGTAATAAAGATAGTATACGTCTATGGATCATCCATAGGCCTATTATATGACCGGTGTGAAAGAAATGATGGTCCCCAGGGATTATGGTCCCCTTTCTTAACGGCCCTTTCTGGCCCTGATTGTGTATAAGATAATGAGGAAAAGAGTTGTATTTAGGTCACCATATAAATAAATGGAGATAAGGACCATAATTTGATAGGACCCCCTACCCTTCACTGGCGGATCTGGGGGGGGGGGGGCCAGAAAAAAAATTGGGCCCAAAAAAATTTTTGAGCCAAAAAAGGCCTTGTGGCCCCAAAAAGTGGGCCTTTTTGGTCATAAATGGGCCTTTTAAGGCCTTATTTTTTAATTTTAGGCCAAATTTTGAAGAAAATGGGCCTCAAAATTTCAAAATTTGGGCCCACATTTTGGTTTTAGGGGCCCAAAAAAATTTTTCGCGCTAGCGCGGTTTTTTTTTCTCAGACCAGAAGTTTGGCCCCCTTCTTGTTGGTTCCCAGATCCGCCCCTGCCGTTGCACACCGGGATCTGATTTGTATTTTCAATATACTGGGTTGGCATGCCATATTTAAATGGTCTCGATTACACATTCCATATTTAATGTCAGTAGTTTGATGATATTGATTATACAATTGCATAATCTCAATTTATTTCATGACTATTCCACCAGGGAATGTAGCAATAATTAGCATCATTTTAGATTGGTACGTTCACAGATCACAGAAAAAGTTAAAATAAATATGTGTTTGCTTAGCCGAAATATTGGAATGTGTTGTCATAAATAAACAATCATGGCGGACGAAAATGAAATATCTTTGTTGTCAAAACTTGAAAGTATCAAGGATATAAGGTAAGAAGACGGTGTATGGGTTATATTGCATATATCTAGCGATTCGGAGGCTCAACATCGTTTATACTGGTATTATTCTTTGCTAAACAACCCATAAAGTAGATCAACATTTTAGAAATGGAAAATCAACAGAGTCAAGTTTTATCTTGATTTTTAGCATGCATGTTTCTACACCTACTTTTAGGCTAGAATTTTTTCTTGTGGTAGAAAATTTCCCTTCCTTTGGCAGATATTTTCTTCATACCTTATAATGCTTCCTTTGTGTATGAACCTCCCCGTGGCCTTTACATTGTATATACTCTATGCACGCGACGCGACTACACGGATACGGATAGTGGGAAGTCCTCCATCTACGAGGTATATACACCAGGTAATACGACTAAAAATTTAAAAAATATGAAAAAAATATGGTCACCTGTCCTCAGATTCAATTTTTGAATGAATCGTAGCATAATGTACAGATTATTTGATATCATGCTATTCTTGAAACATTTATACGCAAAAATAACTGGGTCGCTCACCTCTTATGCCTATATGTGTTCAGTAATCATCAATTCTCATGAGTAAAATTTCTCCAGGCCATTGAAAAGTCCGCTCATTAAATTGACAATTTCTACTGCGCATGTGTCATGGGTTGTGAAACACTGGACGAAATGGTTTGGTAAATTTCAAGCTATTTGATTGGTCGAAAGAATCACGCGCCTTTGCGTGATTTGCTTTATTCTCGCGAGATAAGGTGCTCCGTCCCCTTAAATTTTTATTTTGAACAACCATTATGATTTGGTGCATTATCTGACCAATAAAGCAGATTTGGAGGTATGAATATTTTTTTTATTTTTCTGTTTAGTGTTTTCTACAGGCCCTATGTGTCTCAGGATATTTGTTTAACGAAAACTAGACAAATAATTTATTTTGAAAATACATATTTTTTATTTTGGATGGAAGCTGCGTAACCTGACAAATAATATAAGTAATATATGGAGGATTTCCCATAACCATGCGCGACTACAATAAAAAGCTACAATCTGTAAGTTGAAAATCGATGTTTGATTGTGCATGGACTTACACAGTGAAACTAATATACTACATAATCCTGTAACATGTCCCAATGTTATGACCACACCCATGTACATATTCGGAAATGATTACATTGCTCAGGCACGGGTAATTTGACACATACCTTGTTGTCACTGTTGCATGTTGTTGGTTATACCTCTATATAAAAGCTTGAGGATCCATTCATTTTCACCACAAAAGAACACCAACGATAGCTGACAAAATCCTCATAACCTACACGACTCTAGAAGTAAAACATTCAAACAACATGGATGTACATCATAACATTCAAACAACATGGATGACATTCAAACAACATGGATGTACATCACTAGTACATCATAACAAGTAATGAAGCAATATCAATTCATTTCCGTGTATCAACATTATATAATCTTTGTTATCATTTATGTGTGTGCCTACTTCTAGGGCTAAAACAATTCATCTAGATCGAGTAAAAGGGAAACTCCTCCAAGAGATCAGCTCTACGGAGAATGAGGAGAAATGTCTAACAGACTACAAGCAGGAGATGGAACTTCTCCTTCAAGAGAAAATGGCACATGTTGAAGAGCTGAGACAGATACATGCAGACATTAACACAGTAAGGCAATTAAGATATGTACAGGGTGTTCATTAAGTCTCTTTATAAATATGATACAAAGTTTCTAACTGTTCTAGAGAGACTTAAAATGGACACCCTGTATGGTGCTTTAAGCTGATAATCCTGGTCATATCTTTTATTCATCAGTCAACATTTGTCCTTCACTGCTTTTTTTTACCTCTTTCCTCCTAACAAAACTAGATCCTATATTCAAGAACTTTTGATGATTGGACACCCTCACTAAGCATCATACTTTAAACTATATTTAGCAGTTATGTCCCTATCATTGAATATATGCCTGAGGTCTGTCATCAATATAGCCCGAGCTTGCGAGGGCTATATTACGACAGACCGAAGGCATATATTCTATGATACGGACATAATTGTTGTATTACATACCTAAAGTACATTTACATAACATTTCATGAAGATAATATGTAGAAATGCGCGAAAAAAGACCAAAATTTTACACGATTCCAGTCAAAATAACTTTGTCTGTATGTTATGACGTCATAAAATTGTCATGGTAATAAAGTTTGGCGGCTATACAGGAATATATAGCCGACCTTCCGCTCCATTGACTTCCATACAAATGCTTCGCTAGGTATGTAATACTGTATGTTATGTTATTTTAAATATGTTTTCATTTTTAGATGGAAGCTACGATAAAGCAGGCCGAAGAGGAGAGAAATCGTGCAGCTGATAGTGCGAAACATCTTTACGACGAGTACAAACCACTAAAAGCTCATGTAGATAAACTCAGGGAAAACATAGGACTTGAGAAAACACATGACATCGAAGATGAGGAAACAAAATTAAATTCAGAGTGAGTTTGTGATGAATTTCCATCACATGTGTAGGCTTAATTGATTTTACGAAAGATGAAATTCAGTGGATTTGATTGTATTGTCTAAGATTTAAGCGATTTGAAATACCAAATATCCCAAACAAATTTCATAAGGAAATAGAGAAGCCATCTGAGGGTTCTTCCATCCTTGTGTTTGTCCATCCATCCATGTGTTCGTCCAACCGCCTGTTCATTTGTCTGAAGACTCAAATACCAATGGTTTTTCATAAAAAATGTAGTCTTTGATAACTTTAAAAATGCTAGACAGACTTGGTTCATATTTTATATGCTGATGCCTTGGGACAAAAAGGCTTTGCTCAAGATTTTCAGGATGGCCAGAAGATTTTATTTTTACCTTACATTAATAATTTCAGGTATTTTGAGAAACAAAAGACAGAATGGCAGAGTGAGCAACAAACCCATGTTGAGCCTCCACAGCCTTTATCTGTGTCTAATGTTAGTACAGCCCAGATTCCTGTCCCACGGAACAAGCCAGAGAGACAGGGATTCAGGCAGCAACCTCCACCTATGAAGGTAAAGATAAACATAACCATGGTGAAACTAGTGAGGATGCCTCATCAAAATATTTATACAGATTTTTTCATAAGTAACTGCGAAAGTGAGGTCTATAACTGATATTGGAATAAAAATTTGCATTGCCTATTAAAATTTGCCTCACCTATTAATAATTTGCCCCACCTATAAAAAATTTGCCCCACCTATTAATAATTTGCCCCACCTATTAATAATTTGCCTCACATTTTAACAGTTTGCCTCACCTAATATCCATTTGCCTCACTTTGACCATTTGCATCATCTCATAACAATCTGCCTCACTTGTGTCACTTATGAACAACTTACCTCGCCTTTGAACAATTTGCCCCACCTATTAACAATTTGCCCCACATATAAAAAATTTGCCCCACCTATTAACAATTGTCATCAGCTATTTACAATTTGCCTCGCATGTTAATAGTCAGCCTCACATATTAACAATTTGGTAGGGCCTCAGTTAGTGGGCCTTTAGGGCATGACTTTGGTCTTATGTGCCTCAGAACCATTCCACAATTTCAACAAATTCATCTCTCCCAGTGCCCATTATCATCTGATCAAAACAAACAAGCCATGAAAATAAGTCCCAATAATTATAAAATGATTATCACTTATATTTCTAACCCTTAACCTCAATGAAAATTGATCTCAGTTAATTAAGTTGAACATATGTTTCAAAGCCATTTTTACATGTATATAAATTTTGCATTCTAGGCGTGTCTTTCGTGTCATCAACAGATCCATCGTAATGCACCTATCTGCCCTCTTTGCAAGGCTAAAAGCAGATCACGCAATCCCAAGAAACCTAAGCGCAAGTTGGATGAATGATGGGAAGAAAACTTATGTAATTAGTCAATATAGAGCCCATTATTAAACATGGGTAATTGTGGTCATGGAATATCTTGCCTAACTATTCACCAGTGAGATAATATATTAAAGGATGAATGTCCATATATGGATATAGAGGGACTTCTAAGCAGTTATATGTCAGCCAGTGAGAATCCTGTTCTTAAGGATGAATGCCCATATATGGATATAGAGGAGTAGAGGTAGTTATGTCAGCCAATGGGAATTCCGTATTAAAAGATGAATGCCCATATATGGATATAGAGGGAGTAGCAATAGTTATATGTCAGCCAATGAGGATCCTGTATTAAGTATCAATGCCCATATATGGATATAGAGGGACTAGAAGTAGTTATATGTCAGCCAATGGGAATCCTGTATTAAAGAATTAATGCCCATATATGGATATAGAGCCGTGAGTAACAAACATTATAAGTTAGAGTCTCCTTACATTGCGATTGGCATTCCCGTTTTAGATTTTGTTAGGTACTTCAGAAAACTTCTTGCTAATAAAAGCAACTGACTGATTATAACCAGCCAGGGAAATTTCTGCAGCCATGTTTTTACTAATATGTCTAATTTTATTCATGGGGATGTCATCTTAAGTGATATTTCTGACCATTTTCCAGTATTTGCACTTTCTGAGTCAACAATAAGCACTATAAAATTCAAAACGATTTCATACAGAAAACATACTACCCAAAATCTACAAATGTTCAAACAACAGCTTTCTACTGTAGATTGGACTGATTTATATTCTAGCAATAATGCAAATGATGCATATAACTTTTTTCATGACATAATTTCTAAAATCTATAATGAGTCATTCCCCCTCTTAAAAAAGAGAGTTAAGCATTACAATGATAACTCACGCCCTTGGCTAACTATAGGTATCATAAATTCTACTAAGGTTAAAAATAAATTGTACTATAAATATGTAAAATGTCCCACAATTACCAATTTGACAGCATACAAAGAATATAAACGCTTACTTAGACGCACTATAAGAACTTCCGAACGTTCATATTATCGAGACCGATTTAACTCTGCAAACGGTAATATAAAGGATACATGGGCTGTCATAAAAGATATTTTGAAAAAGAAAAAAGCCTACCCCAAATCTCAAAATGAATTTATAGTTAATGACCAGGTTATTTCAGATAAAATTGAAATCTCTAACAAATTTAATGAATTTTTCGCAACTATTGGAAAGAAATATGCGGAAAATATTGGCCAAAGTAACAAACATTGGTCTCAATTTATTAACTCAATGAAAAAAACAGATATTAAATTTAATTTTGACTTAATAACTCACCAGGAACTACATGACCTAATGGGAGATCTCAAAGATAGCAGTGCATCTATTGATGATATCAAACCTATTATTATACGTCAGTCTAAGGATGACCTTCTAAACCCTCTTCTTTTTATTTATAATATGTCTTTTCAACAGGGATGCTTTCCTGATCTTCTTAAAATGGCTAAAGTCATACCCATATTTAAATCTGGTGACAATGACAAATTTACAAATTACAGGCCAATATCGATTTTGTCTGTATTTTCTAAGCTCATTGAGAAACTTGTCCATAAGCGATTATACACTTTCTTTGAAGAATCAAAATTATTTTACTTAAACCAATTTGGATTTCGAAAACATTTCCCCACATATATGGCAATTTTGACCTTTGTCGAAAATATAAGATCAGCTCTTGAAAATGATAAATACTCCATTGGAATCTTCCTTGACCTGTCAAAAGCGTTCGACACTATCAACCACGATATTCTCATAAAAAAACTTGACTTCTATGGTGTCGGACAAGTTGAACAAAACTTTTTTAAAAGCTATCTTCAAAATCGTAAACAAATTGTTTCTTATGATGGTGCCCTGTCTGACACCCTAACTGTTTCCCAGGGAGTCCCTCAGGGATCCGTTTTGGGACCACTTTTATTTATCATTTATGTTAATGACCTGTTCACGGCGTCACAAAGTCTTAAATCTGTTTTATTTGCAGATGACACTAATCTTCTAGCTTCAGACCATAATTTGACTAGACTTGTAAATACTGTTAATAAGGAACTCACTACTCTTGATGACTGGTTTAAAGCAAACCTCCTTTCTTTAAACTATTCAAAAACAAAATTCATCGTCTTCTCCAAAAAACGAAAAAAGATTTGTCAACAAATTGAAATATTTATAAATGGAAAACAAATTGATAGGGTTCATGAAATAAATTTTTTGGGAGTAACAATTGATGAATTCCTTGACTGGAAAAGTCACATAAAAAATGTAGAAAGAAAAATATCTAGAACCATTGGAATCTCATTCAAATGCAGATACTTGCTAAACATAAAAAGTATGTTAGCAATTTATAATTCTTTAATATATTCCTACTTGAATTATTGCACAATCATTTGGGCCGGAGCATATTCAGCTTTGGATAAACTACTCAAATTACAAAAATCATACCTTCGTCTCATGGCAGGAAAAGACAGGTTTGAGCACTCGGCTCCACTTTTCAAACAATTTAGAATACTTCCAGTGCATGATATCTATCAATTAAATGTTGGAATTTTTGTTTATTGCTGGTATAACAATATATTAGTCCACCGCAAGATTTTTGAAAACTATTTTACGTTAAATGTTGACATTCATCGGTATCAAACTAGACATTCACATGATATCCATGCCTTCAAGTTCAAAACAAATATTGGCCTTTATTCACTGAAAGTGCAAGGTCAGCAAATCTGGAATTCTATATCTCATCATATTCGACAAGCAGCCTCACTCTCAATTTTTAAGTCTTTGTTCAAACAAAATAAAATAAATGACATACCTTTATAGTTTTAAAGATTTGAAAATGTCTTTACTATTGAAAATCTGTACTCTGCCACATTTTGTCTTATCAACTTATATATACAGTAAAACCTGCGAACAGGGAATGCTCTTGGGACTGGAGGAAAGTTTCCTTGTTCAGAGGTTTTCCCTATAGAGAGGGGCCACAATTTCAGCAAACTCAAACTTGCCGAATAACCATATTTGTATCTATATGGGTGTTGATTGATTGTACCAATGCCAATTGTACCAATACTTGGTTGCTAGACCTTGTAGTGACATCTTGGAAGATGTATGAAGGTCTCCCGCCTCCCTCCATTGGCTGAGGGTAAGGAGCGTTCTCCCTATGTTGATTTTAGCCGCTGCTACTGGCGTCTGATGATGTCTAGTTGATGTAATTTTTGATATGATGTGTAGAAATCTGTTGCTAAGAACTGAATTTCAAGTTTCATCAACCCCATTTTATATCATTGATAATCTAGAAGTTTGGATCAGTAAAAGATTTAAAGAGATTTGGCTCAACATGACACATGTACTTATCTGTTATCCCCTTAAAACAATTGTCAGTCCCTGGGTCCCTAGATTATCACAACTGATTTGATGTAATTAGGTTAATATATCAGGGTAATTAACAGTGGGTGGGATGCTACATACTGTAAACAATTGGCTTATCTTAATCTCAGTCATATTAATCCAAGCTTTTTAGGATCAGATATTGGCTTAGGACTTTCACACCTCTGAAAAATAATGGAATATACAGTGTCACCAATATTCCATATTCCTTGTTCACAGGTGAATATTTATAATTTGCCCCAAAATAGTGTTCCTTGTTCCCTGTTCACAGGTTTTCCCTACAGAGAGGGTCCGTTAACATGTAAGTCAATAGAAAAATATTTGGTTCTTTTGAAAAGCATTCCTTGTTCATAGGTTTTCCCTACAGAGAGGTATTCCATCGGACAGGTTTTACTGTATACATATTATAAACTTAGCAGCAATTACCCGTTCTCGTGTCCTGTGTCTCTGTCCCCGAGTGTTAATATTTTTTACATTTTTGAAATTATTTCCAACAGACTTGGGCCAGTGTCATTCTCAGGTATTTCTCCACTCCATTTTTATTTGTCTTACCTGTTGGTGTCACTGACCCATTTCTGTCCAGTTAAAACCAACATATATGCTCTTGAGAGCGTCATGTTGTATTGAATGTCATATATAATTTTCAAAATAGTTATAAATATCTGAAAATCTGAATCTGAATGTTTCTGAGTGTAGAACCATGTATCAGTATTGATATTGTATGTGGTCTATTTATTACATCAGTATTTATTGAACAGCCCTCATTTGTGGTCTCTTTATTAAAACATCTCAGTATTCATGTTTTTATAAAAAATTTCATCTAAGATGTCTAACTATAACAAATATTTAAGGTAGACAGTGTAGTGTTTATAAGAGACATGTCTGTGGATAATATCTTAGTTTGTTAGCTGATTTTCTTGTTCAACACCACCCACTTTAAGAATGTTCAAGTAATACAGTGCATAGAATAGTTGCAATGCAATATGTTCAGGTCAAATTGTGAATATTGCGTCATATAAATGTGTCTATGTGTCTGATATAATATGAATGTGTCTTTCTTAAAATCAATAATGACAGTGGATATTTGTATTAGTGACTTAAGTAATGTGAACTAGTGACATATGTAATGTGTATTAGTGACATATGTAATGTGAATTAGTGACATATGTAATGTGTATTAGTGACATATGTAATGTGAATTAGTGACATATGTAATGTGAACTAGTGACATAAGTAATGTGTATTAGTGACATATGTAATGTGAATTAGTGACATATGTAATGTGAATTAGTGACATATGTAATGTGAACTAGTGACATATAAGTAATGTGTATTAGCGACATATGTAATGTGAATTAGTGACATATGTAATGTGTATTAGTGACATATGAAATGTGAATTAGTGACATGTTTGCTGTATTTTAGTAACATATTGTTTATATATTAGTGACCAAAATGGATATATATTGTAACAATATATTTAATGTTTGTTAGTGACTTATGGATGTGTCTCAGTAGAGATACAATGTAAGTGTCTTAGTGACACAATGCATGTGTCAGTATTGTGTCATAATGTGCCTTAATGTTGTAAAATTATTAGAAACAAAACTTTATCTCCATGTCACATGTAGTTGATGTCACATGGAATTGTATTTATTTTCAAGTTTAATACTTCATCTCTCGCTTTGTATTTCCAGATATTGTACCAAATTGGTCAGTTTGGCAGTGTTCAATTTTTCAGATTCTTAAGTCTAGCCTAGATACATTTTTATTTAAATAGCACAAATAAATTATCAAAAGTAAGGTAAATTAGAGTCAAATTTGATAAACACCAAAATGACAAAATGCTAATTATAAAAAATTCATGGTAACACTTAATAAATACATGGTACAGTGCATAAATATTGTTTGTACAATATGCAACTTCGCAATTCCATTTGAAACAGCAATTGTATTTGCAATGAATGTAATAATCAAATTTATAAACATCATATTTAAATGATTGATGTTTTTTATACTTTTAATTATATTATCGTATCATGTAAGATTATATTATCCATTGGAGTGTAGAAATCTCAAAATGAAATAAATATGATGAAAAATAAATGAAGTGTTTGTATTTTTTTGTATAGATGGCTCTGTAAAATCAAAACTTTAATATCAATGAATGCCCCATGGGTAGACGGTGAACACCGCCTCTAATGCGTTGGATTGTCGTAAGGACTTGGGCCAACACGATCCTCAGAGACCCAGAGGGTGCATGGATGCACCTACCCCATGGGTTGAAGCATTGAAGTCAATCATGAGTCATTCAATAAATGCAGGGCTTCTTTGGAATTTTTGAATTCTGAAAAAGCTCAGTGAATTTTAAGTACATAAAGGTGTGAAAAGTTGGAAATTGGCACTGACAAATTGAAAAAAAATTTAACCTGTGTCAATTTTGCCGTTGGTGCAAGAATTGTCAAAATTTAAGATACATGGGAGTCTGTTTTTGTGACTGTATTTGCAGAAACACATTAAACCAAAGGTTCAAATCGGGTGAAATGTTTGACCATTGAGGATCCATAGTTAAAGTATCCATAGGTAAAGTAGGAAAAAGAGATCCAGAGAATAAAATTGTTTATGTACCATCTTCAAACAGCAATCAAATATGTCTCTTACAATCATTTCATTGTTATAAAAAAAAATGTAAAGTACTAGTAGTGACAATTTTTGGAAAATTTTTCTTAACATATCTGTTTGTTGCCCCTTGTCATGACTAAAAAAGTTCATGATTCTTCCATTTTTGAGATACCACACTCATACCGATGAAGTTATCTGGAAAAAAACACATACAGACAAAAGCTTTATAGAAATCAATATTTTTATTCTATGTTGTCTAGTAACTTATTATGTTCATACATCAAAACTCACATCACTTTCATGTGAAAATAAAAATCCAATTTGTTATTTGTAAAAATCTATATACAAGCTATTTTACAGCAGCATATATCGAAGATTCACTGAAAGGAGTTCTTTACATTTCTATGGCAACAGGCGAAAGGGCAAATGTCGAAATTATTATTTTCAGTAAGTTTGCCTGTTGAAATCAAGCAATTTTACAGCAATTATAAGCACATATCGAATATACATTGAATGGAGTTCTTAACATCTCTATGGCAACAGGCATGAAGCATTTGACAACATTTAGCTAAAAGGCCTTTACAAATACATAATTGTCATATACACATACTCACAGGGTGTCAATAAAGTCTTTTCACTACACAGACTTTGTATTGTAATTGTAAAGAGACTTTATGGACCCCTTGTATAAGTGATTTCTTAACTACCAGGGATGTAAGATTTTCCAGAAACACCTTTTCTCCATTGTCTCATCACACAACATTATCGATGTTATCCAACTGATTTTCATGGAAATAATTGTTGAAATTTTATTGAAACTGCACAGAAAGTCATGGATGTTAATTATTGTCTACAAATATTGAAATGTCCTGGAATGTTATGTTATTAATACTTGTCACAGTTTCTTGAAGAATATTGCGTACAGATCCTGTCACTGGTAGTCTCACTGTAGGCCTTAGCCTTGTCTAGCCCAGCTCCTGAAAATGTAGTACAATAGTAAAGAGAATGCAGTACAATAAACGTGATAGAATACTTAATAATAAAAAGGCTGCACATAACAAATATGATACTGGTGTTTACCTGTTATCGGGAAGGTCATAGTGTTAACCTTTTATCAGGAAGGTCATAGTGTTTACCTGTTATCAGGAAGGTCATAGTGTTAACCTGTTATCAGGAAGTTTAAGGTGTTTACCTTTTATCAGGAAGGTCATAGTGTTTACCTGTTATCAGTAAGGCCATATTGTTAACCTGATATCAGGAAGGTCATGGTATTTTCCTGTTATCAGGAAGGTCATAGTGTTTACCTCTTATCAGGAAGTCATAGTGTTTACCTGTTATCAGGAAGGTCATAGTGTTTACCTGTTTTCAGGAAGGTCATAGTTTTTACCTGTTATCAGGAAGGTCATAGTTTTTACCTTTTATTAGGAAGGTCATAGTGTTTACCTTTTATTAGGAAGGTCATAGTGTTTATCTGTTTTCAGGGAGGCCATAGTGTTTACCTGTTATCAGGAAGGTCATAGTGTTTACCTGTTATCAGTAAGGTCATAGTTTTTACCTGTTATCAGGAAGGTCATAGTGTTTACCTGTTATCAGGAAGGTCATAGTGTTTACCTGTTATCAGGAAGGTCATAGTGTTTACCTGTTTTCAGGAAGATCATAGTTTTTACCTGTTATCAGGAAGGTCATAGTTTTTACCTTTTATTAGGAAGGTCATAGTGTTTACCTTTTATTAGGAAGGTCATAGTGTTTATCTGTTTTCAGGAAGGTCATAGTGTTTACCTGTTATCAGGAAGGTCATAGTGTTTACCTGTTATCAGGAAGGTCATAGTGTTTACCTGTTATCAGGAAGGTCATATTTTTTACCTGTTATTAGGAAGGTCATAGTGTTTACCTTTTATTGGGAAGGTCATAGTGTTAACCTTTTATTAGGAAGGTCATAGTGTTTATCTGTTTTCAGGAAGGTCATATTTTTTACCTGTTATTAGGAAGGTCATAGTGTTTACCTTTTATTAGGAAGGTCATAGTGTTTACCTGTTATCAGGAAGGTCAAAGTGTTTACCTTTTATCACAATAACTTAAAGCATTTACCTGTGATCAGGTTGTTCAGGTTGCAGTAATTAGTGCTATAGTCTAAAACAGCATACCACGTCTCCGAGGTTGAGTGACCCTGGAAGAACAAATGTTAACAAACTTTTAATCACTTCTTAAAATAAAGGGTTTCATAAAATAACATTGACACCCTACGATTTCAGTGCTATACAGAAAACCATGGTGAGGATATATGCTAGCATACTGTTAATACAGGAGTAAATTTAAGATTTGAATTTTAAAATTTCAATCAAAGTCAAAGACAAAATGTTTTTAAGAAGTTAAAATAAACATAATGAAATTATGTTATTTCATTATGATGATGTTTTTTTATATTCTATATTTTATTTTATATTCAATTTCATTTTTATTTTTCCATTACTTTCTTGCAAAAACTTCATATTTATATTTGTGATATAAAAACTTACATTGACGTTACAAATGTTGCTATTCTGTGTAAAAGTAAATGTGAGATCATCGACATATCCCTTCTTAGGTGTGGTGTGTGTCGCTTTTATTATTCTGTCAGTTCTACTCACAAGCTGCAACAACAAATTAGGACATAATGAAAAGTTTCTAATTTCAAAATGAAAAGTTTCTAAATTAGGACATAATGAAGTTTCTAATTTCAAAATAAAAAGTTTCTAATTTAAAGATATAAAGTTTCTAATTTAAAGAAGAAAAGTTTCTTATTTAAAGATATTAAGTTTCTAATTTCAAAGATATAAGGTACAACTTACATATACATTTCTTAAGAACATATATTTAAATGGATTTTGGTCGTAAAAGCTATATCGTAATCATATATGTTCAGTAATATCTTACATGAATTTATCATTAGTTTATTATGTTACATAGGGCATGTCAGAACATAGATCAAAATGATAATCTAAAGCCCTGTATACACTGGCGGGCGAAATGCTTGAAACGGGGGTAAAATGGCCGAACTGCTTGAAATGGTTGAAATGAAAGTGAAATTGAAAATAGCGTGGGGAAATTGATTGGAATTCTTGAAACGGCAAAACAAGCGCAAGCAGCGAAACTGTAATTTCATTTTCCAAGACGTAGTGATTGAAATGGTTGAAAAGTCCAACCAATATGCTTGAAATGAGAAACATTTGTGTTCATTTTTCTTCCTGAATAGATCACTCTTAGTTGACTATTGGGTTGTTCTTTATTTCAACTTCAAAACAAAGGGTTTAATTAATGCTAATTCATAGGTTTATCTGGCAGACAGCAGAAGCTGAATTCACAAATATGATTAGAAATTTTTGGGATGATTCAATGTGGCATTTATCATATCTAAATGTACGTTTGCGAATTCAGATAGAAACAAATATCACATAAACATTTTTCTTACCGCGTAGAGGCATTTCTCTCCTCCTCCTTTGCAGTTGTCATCTGTTTTCCATAAAGCTATTTGTTTAACAATAGCATTGTTGACATCAGTACATTTGGCATCCCATGACCTGTGAAAAGAATATTTACTGATGTGATGGCATTTAACAATTGCATTGTTGACGTCACTACATTTGGCATCCCATGACCTGTAAAAACAACATTAACTGATGCGATGGCATTTAACAATAGCATTGTTGACGTCACTACATTTGGCATCCCATGACCTGTAAAAACAACATTAACTGATGCGATGGCATTTAACAATAGCATTGTTGACGTCACTACATTTGGCATCCCATGACCTGTAAAAAGAACATTTACTGATGTGATGGCATTTAACAATAGCATTGTTGACGTCACTACATTTGGCATCCCATGACCTGTAAAAAGAACATTTACTGATGTGATGGCATTTATTTTGGCATCTGGTCATATTTAACATAGGCATCCACAGGGGGGGGGTGATGGGTGCTTCTCATTTCTTTTGAGACAATCGACGTGGAATTTGTTCCCCACCAAATGATTCTTTTGGTCAGATGAGGAGGGAGCACTACATTTTCATCACAAATGTGTATCAGTATCAAACATGTATATCTACAATAATGTACATATTTGCAAACACATAGTTCAGAAGATGACAGAATTGTTGATTTAATTTCTCACTTGTGTTACGTACACAGAATTTAAAATAATGGTTAAGATCTGCACTTTTAACCTGTTCTGTTTATGTTACAATAGTGAGGTATTAAATCGAAAAATCTGTGTCTCCTGAACTTTTAGTTCGCAATTGTACATTGACACACATTTGTCTTCGAATGTAGAAATTCTAATCACAATGCATGAAATAAGGAAAATGTTCAATGTTCAGACATTTTGTTACTGAAACACAGAGTTTTGGTAACTGGCATAGCAGACTATGTGAAAGACAAAAACATTGTCATTAACATAAACATCTCCCACAAATAAAAAAGTTACAGCATCTTGAATTAACATTACAGCATTTTAAAACGATCGGCCATTTTGAAAATCGGCTTTCGAGCAGAACTTCTACCCCCATAGTGCACATGTGTATGAAATATGAACAAAATCGGGTCAACAGTATTTGAGTTATTGCCCCGACAGACGGACGGAAGGACGTATGTACGGACGACGGATGGAGGCGTTCCCTATATCCCTCCGAACTTTGTTCGATGGGATATTACTAAACAAATGGGTGCTATCTTGTGAAGAGCAAGAAAAAACGAACCTCACAGATTGCCCTGATTCCTTTCAATTAAACATCCCAACCTTGCTTCAGTAAACACGATTTCTTATTTTCAACGACAATTTGGTAACTTTTAATTCGGGTAGGGAACTTTTTCCAATTGTGGTTAGCAATACACGACGACAGAATCTCAAAGATAATCATGCAATAAAATAATGTTGGAATGTGTTTTTGATCCTACCACCTCTATGAAAAAAATAAAAGCGGCCGCCTGGGTCGCCTGCCCGCCTGTAAAATACAGGTAACCATTTTTTATACATCAGTGGATGGGATTAGATCTATACAAAATGTAAAATATACAAATTTTAGGAATATTTATCTAGACAATATTGGAAATTATGGGCTTTCAGACGACCTTGGTTAGGAAATGGTGATAGAAAATCCATGTGTCATTTATTTTTCTTCCCAACTAGGCTAGATCCATAATTTCAAAAATGCAAAACAAATCAGAAAATAATTCTCCACTCACCATTCGATGGTACAAGAGGCGTGTAATGGGCCGCCGACCGCACAAACTATAACTACAAATAAAGTTGAAGCTCCCAACAAAAGTCCAGACACCATCGTGAAGCAATTGTCTCTACAAAAGCGACTTCGCATTGATTTAAGTCACGAGAAAAGATTAGATACGAAAAATTATTTCATAACATGTTTACCGGAAGTAAACAAGCACGTGACTGTCACATGACATTATTTACAGGGTGGCTTAAAATCATGCTTTTGAATTAGTAACACCGCCATGTGACTTGGTATGCCATCACTTCCAACAAACTCCAATGCTATGTTGAAGACGAGTACTGCCACGGAGTGTATACTGATGCGGCTCCGGGGCTTTATTTATAATCTGAATGCCCATAAAAACTCCGATAGTCAAATAGACGGGTAGGAAGGAGGGGTTCCCATGCACCCGAAAGATGTATTTTTTAATGTACATTTTTGTAATCCTAAAGGTCCATACTAAAGATTTTTGCATGTTCCCAGAATGAAATATTGTCCCATGGTATTTATTGGCAGCCATCTTATCGGCCATCTTGGATTTTTGAAAGAGTTGATGTTAATTACCTCAAAGTATAATAACTTCCAGAGTTTTGAGATTTGAAAGCTGTAAGTGGTACCAAAATGAAGCAATTATAGTATCCTATATTATCAGATGCAATAATTATGCAAATTGTCTCATTTGCATAAAATATGACATCATCAATCATAATTCTTGCCTCTTTACAACGGTATCACATTATACCTTTCTGCCTGAGTGATCAGTCTTAGTCATTCATTCACATAAATAAATTTAAATATATAGGTACATTAATTTTGAACATATTTGCAACAAAAAAATTCGAAACTTTTGGAAAAACATTGTCAGACACACGATAATGTTACTGAAAAGAGGCGTGGCACTTCTTGTGAAAGAATTGATTTTAATCATCTTAAAGTATAATAACTTCTACAGTTTTGAGAGTTGAAAGCTGTAAGTGGTACCAAAATGAAGCTATTATAGTATCCCATATTATATAAGATGTAATAATTATGCAAATAGTCTCATTTGCATAAAATGTGACATCATTTATCGTAATCTTTGCCTCTTTACAACGGTATCACACAATACCTTGCTGCCTGAGTGACCAGTCTTAGTCATCCATGAACATGAATGAATTTGAATATATAAGTACATTAAAGAGAGAATCAGAGATAGCGAGCAGGCTTAACAAAAAATTGTTTCAATTTTAGAATATTTTTGGCTCATGTCATTCCTTGTCATGTCTATTTTCTAAAAATCACAAAAGTGCATACTTTATTCAAGGAAAACTAAAGATTTTTACAATAATGTATTATTTTTCTATAAGAATGGTTACCATTCTTATTAATTGGGAGAATTTAAACATTTTTCACTCATTTTTGCACTTTGAAACATTAATAACTTCACCAATTTATAACATATTGTGAATCTTTGGGAGATATTGTATTTGATATTGTAAGGAATAGATTGGTAGGTCAATTATACATGTTGCTTGTAATTTTGTCACCCCCTATAGATCAGATTCTGCCTTTAATTTTGAACATATTTGCAATTGAAAGTTTTGGAAAAACATTGTCAGACACTAAGTTATAATACTTCACATGATTATATTACTGAAAAGGGGCGTGGCACTTCTTGAGAAAGAGTTGATGTTAATCATTTCAAAGTACAATAACTTCCACAGTTTTGATAATTGAAAGCTGTAAGTGAAACAAAAATGGAGCTATTATAATATACTTATAAAAATGCAATAATTATGCAAATTTTCCCATTTGCATAATATGTGACAACCTCTATTATTTTTGGCATTTTTCAATGGTAACGACCAATATCTTTCCCTCTAGGTAACAGTCTTGGTTATTCATGAGCATTTATGATTTTGAATATATAGGTACATTAATTTTGAACATATTTGCAATTGAAATTTTGGAAAAACTTTGTAAGAAATTAAGTGTTGACACTTCACATGATTATGTAACTGAAAAAGGGGGGGGGGCACTTTTGTTCAAAATGTTAACTTCTAAACACTAATATCAAATTCAAGGGCTGAAGCTCCTCTAGCAGAGTCAAGTAGATAGAGCCCAATGTTGCTCATTGGTGAAATTTTGGCCAAATTTTGCATCTTGTATGCACTGCTTACAAGTACATGAAGTGTTCATTATGATAGTGTAATTCCAATATGACAGCACAATACAAGTCAGGCTATTTTATTGTCACATGTGCAAAAGTCGATCTGATGAGACATGTTAAAAGTGGTAGTGGTAAATAATGCCCAGATCAAATTAACACGAGATAGATATTGAAGGTAGGCCCAGATCAAAGTATGGGCATCCTTAGCCTCAATCATGATGCCATCTGTATTGTCCATTAGCGGGAGCTGTAACCCAAATAATGAGTATATGATTTAATGTATGTGTCATTCAGTTGCCATGCACGTGGGGCAGTTGGCGGTTTCTTCCTTCCCCCAAAGTCTGAGGTTTGATGGAGTTGAGACCAGGTCAGGGAAAGCTCTTAATAGGAAACTGAGCCTCCCTTGGTCCATGGACCAAAGGTTATTCCATTTCAAGAAGTGCTGAAGTGAGGGTTCCCAGGTAATGTCAGGTAATGTAATGTCAAGTAATTCCCAGGTAATGTTAATCTGGAAAGGCCACTGAAATCGGGGAGTAATATCATAACACCCCGATATATGACTTGAGTCAATGGCTCTAAGCCACTTGTCCAGGTCCCTTGACACTTCAGCTGTTTTGTTCAAACCACACATAGTTCTTCTCTAGACAATTGTTTCTTTATCTTGCCCTGTTGGTATTTGCTTGCCATGCTTGCCATTTATTTTGAACTGCATTGGAGAAAGCTTGCCATCAACCAAAACCATGCTTCTTGACCTGGTTGGTTTTTAACTTCATGCAAGTACCCACTTTCATCTTGTACCCACTGCTGAACTGGTCATAACTGTGATGTCATCCATGAAAGCTCTGTATGGTAAGTGTTTTGCACCTTCGTTTGCTTTTGAAACCTTACACTGCATCATCCCTGCCTTGAGCAGTAAGTTCATTGATGTTACGAAGAGAACTACTGATACAGTGCGGTCTGCCACTATGCCTTTCTCTGAACTCTGCTAATTAGTGGTATTATTGCCAAATGTAATTGTGCAACTTCAAGGAGTTTGTGTGTCCCATTGTCAGATTGACTACATCTGTTGGTTTTGGTACGTGAAAGTTAACTTGTACCTCTAGTATCAGTTGGTGAGGGACACTAGGTAGACCTTAGGTCCAGCCAAACTACTTATTCTCTTCCTTGGCTTCCTTCACAAGTTGGCTTATTGCTGCTATATGCACCCTTGATGTCTTGGGATACCACTTTTCTGAATGCTTGGCAGGCCAGTAGGAAATAACTGTGAGACTTGACCACAATGGCCCAGAAGATCTTTCCCTCAGCATCCGATAATGATGTCTACTTGAACTGGTCCAGTCCCTCAAATTTTAGCTCCTTTGGAATGAAGCACCTTTCCGCCAAAGCCCAAGTCCTTGCTAGATTTTTCTTGTTCTGGATGCTTGTTAGCAATCACCATAGGTGTATTAACAGCTTATGGCTGTTCTTGTACACCATGTATGCCTTCCTAATGTATGTTCTTACCTCATCAAGCTTAAAATCTGACTGGTCAAACGGTTTTGATGATAAATATGGTGAGATGTCAATTGGGAAATTACTCGATGGCATATTTCGATCTGGGTCACTGTGCGCTGCCAAAGTATTTGCTTCTGCTTGATCCTGCGTATATGCCATACGGGCACTCTTTGGTTCCCTAACAAGTTTGATGTGAGCCTATAGAGATTTTCAAAGAATGTCTTCCTGGTCCTGCGCTTCTCTTTAGATTTTCTCTAAGATGAAGTAATCTCTTAAGAAGCATCTGTTGGAGCTCTCTGATCTTTTTCACTTGCCAGTGTTGAAGCCATCCACGAACACTGTGGGCTTCATCTCTCCTTCCCAAGAGAAGCTTTTGTCTTCTACTTGGCCCAACACAATGGTGTTTCACAGATGTTTCCTCCACTCACTGTCCTCGCATCTGGGATGGAAATCGTTCTAACTTGGACAAGAGGTAGCATAGTGAAGAGGCTGGGCTCTGCATCCCACTTCTATTGGGTGCATAACTGCATACCACCCTCTTGTCTTAGCCTCATCAAATAGGTCTTGGATTTTTAAGCTGATCAGATATTTTTTAATCGGTCAACTCTTCTGAAGGTACCATGAGCTCATTGAAGATGTTGGACCTCTGTGTTTTGACATCAGCACTGAGTTTCTGTAAGAAGTCAGCTGAGAGTCCAGTCGGATGTCTTGGATAAAACATTGAACTGAGGTAGAGGCTTAATACATATTGAGTTAATTATATAGCTTTAACAACTAAATACTGTGAGTACCCATTTCAGTCCATTGCCTATCCTAAAATGATATGGGGATATGTGGTCATTCGTATCTGTATAGTACTTAGTCCAAAAGCGATACAGATTATATATCTTTGGCTGAAATTTAAATGTCTGCCAAACAGACCAACAAGAATTTCTGAACAAGCTAGGAATAAGGAACATCACTGGGCTACTTTCTAAAAGTCAAAAGCTATATTTTACACCCGAGGGATTCACTCTATATAAACATTGACAGGGGGTTCCTCTTTTAACATTTGGTATGGCAATGGATCAAAATTTTAGGATCTGGAATGAGAATGCCCCCATTTAATTATGACTTTTGAGGTATGACAATGGTCTGAGTTTTCTACTTTGTGGTACAAGAATGGTCATGGAGAATATGTTACCTCTCACTTGTGGTATGGGATTGGTCTAGTTTTTACAAATGTCCTTAATTTGAGGTTGTTTTCATTTTCATAAAAGTTCTGCTTCTTCCAGGGGCTTTAGACATTTTGCATTCCAATGGTCTTATATTTTTGGGATATTTGGTATGGCATTAGTCCTATATTTGAACATTTGGTATAGCATTGGTATTATATTTGGATATTTGGTATGGCTTTTGGGCGTTATTTTGGTTGGTACGTGAACACATTGAAATTTGACAGATTGGTATGGGAACATAATGATTATGGGAGCATAATGATATCTTAGGGCTCAGCCTAGGACAACTACAGAATTGTGTATTCAGTGAACCCCTGGGTATTTTACAGATGATACATCGACTATATAATAACATTACGGATTTTCACGCCCCTTTTCAGAACAATAATCATTTGAAAGGTCATACCTTGATTTCTGACAATGTTTTTCTAAAACTTTCAATGCAAATATGTTCAAGCTTTCAATTGCAAATATGTTCAAAATAAATGTATACATTTAATATCTTTTATATTCATGAGAGACCCAAGACTGGTCACTCAGAGGAAAATGCAATATGCACTACCGTTGAAAAGGGGCAAAAATAATGATTGATAATGTCATATTTCATGCAAATATGGTGATTTACATAATTATTGTATCTTATAATGCGGGATATTGTGATACCTTCAGTTTGGTACCACTTGCAGCTTTCAACTCTCAAAACTGTGGAAGTTATTGTACTTTGAAATGATTAACATCAATTCTTTCACAAGAAGTGCCACGCCCCTTTTCAGTAACATAATCATGTGTCTGACAATGTTTTTCCAAAACTTTCGATTGCAAATATGTTCAAAATTAATGTACCTATATATTTAAAATCATTAATGTTCATGAATGACTAAGACTGATCACTCAGGCAGAAAGGTATAATGCGATACCGTTGTAAAGAGGCAAGAATTATGATTGATGATGTCACATTTTATGCAAATGAGACAATTTGCATAATTATTGCATCTGATAATATAGGATACTATAATAGCTTCATTTTGGTACCACTTACAGCTTTCAATTCTCAAAACTGTGGAAGTTATTATACTTTGAGATGATTAACATCAACTCTTTCAAAAATCCAAGATGGCCGACAAGATGGCCGCCAATGGATACCATGGGACAATATTTCATTCTGGGAACATGCAAAAATCTTTAGTATGGACCTTTAGGATTACAAAAATGTACATTAAAAAAATACATCTTTCGGGTGCATGGGGACCATACCTTCCTACTAGACTAAAAGTTCTTGGGAGGTGTACCCCGCCGCCTAGCACCTCTATTTAAAATCAAAAGATTGAAAATAGTTCTAGCTAATCTCATAATTTTGTCAGCTCAGCTTTGTGTGGTTGTAAAAAAGTACAGGGTGGTCCAAAAGGGGAAGCCCTTGCAATAAATTATGGAGCGGCATGTATCTCAGTTACCTGCATAATTAGTGGGCTAATGTTCTCTGAGAAAAGGTTAATAAGCCCATTTAAAGCATATACCTGTATATAATTTAACATGTGATAGCATTAGAATAGTTATAGAACATAATGTAAAGGTCAAGTTAACATTTATAACTATCAAAGCAAGGTGCTTTTCAAAGCCTCAATTGTAATACCGATCATGTTGCTATGTACAGGGTGGGTCAAAATCGCCGATTGATTGATTCAGATTGGTTGATTTGTCTACATATTTAAAGGTGCAACAATTCGTGATCATGCATCGACCAGTGTCAAAATATATTCAAGTTTGGAAACTTCATCAAAAACCAACATATGTTCTTATCAGGCCTATCTACAAAGAAACCCCTCGATGAACATTATTCGGGACATTATTTCAGCTGATATTCCTCTTGAAAGGTGGTGTATCTTAAACATCGATAAGTGGGACTACCTTTACAGATTACATATTCTAATTAATACAGAATATCGAAGCTTTGAACTGAATTTACACTTTTAATGCTGAAATTGATAGTTTATCAATACATTTTAAGAAGGTATGTCAAAGAAGATGTGAGCCAAATGTTGTCCCCGGGAGCTCAGAAAAAGTATAAAATAGAATTTTCTCTCTACAATCCTTGTTGCCCCTTCAATCCTTTTTTATTATGGGAAAAAGCAACATAAAGCGACATACTAAAAATGCTAGAGGTCCTGAGTAATAAAATAATAGAATAGGTCCTTCAATTTGGATTGTATCTGATCTAAAAGAGGAGTTTAATTAGTCCGCCACCCTCTTTGATCATAGCTTTAAGTCTTACCATGTTTTCGCGAATGCAACTAACGCCTGTCATGTCGGCTACCGGATTAACCGCTTCTATTTCATGACTACCTCATTTAAATATGAGTGGACTATAGTTGCTGGCACTATTCACATTTAAATGAGTTGCCCATTAAGTAGAGGTCAAACCCGGTAGCCGACAGGCGTTAGTTACATTTGCGAAGACAAGCTAACGTTAGCGAATGCAACTAAACGCCCGTCGGCTACCGGATTAACCTAATATTTCATTACCAACTCATTTAAATGTAAATGGAATAGTTGCAGGTACTATTCATATTTAAACGAGTTGCCCATAAAATAGTAGGTGAATCCGGTAGCCGACAGGTGTTAGTTGCAGTTGCGAATACAAGCTTAGTGTATCGGTGAAATGTTGGCTAACCGTGTATTTGCGAATGCAACTAACGCCTGTCGGCTACCGGAGTAACCTAATATTTTATGGCCCCTTTCCTCAACTCATTTCCTCGGGAAATTCCATATTGACGGAATAAAACCCATATTGTATCACTCCCAGTAAATAACCTTTATTTATTCCATAATAATACTGTTCTCCCAGGGAAATATGAAGGAATAAAAATCGTATTGAATCGTATTACATTGGTTTCCCGGTTATTTTTAACCTTGGCTAATTGACAATTAAAGCATTATACAAATGTAACATTCTAGACGAACGTATTATGGAATAAATAGGTCATTTCTGGTCGGGATTGAATATGGGTTTTATTCCTCGGAAAATATGATATTGACCTTGGGCAATATCATATTGTCCCTAGGAATAAAACCCATATTCAATCCCTCCCAGTAAATATACTTTATAAAAACGTGAACAAAAATCAATGAATCATCCTATCAGAAACGTATTTCACATATTCATATACAAGGGACGATCCATATATTCTGATAAAAATGCTCTCATTTTGTGATTTTTTTTCACATATCCCTCTTATTTTTTCAGAAAATGTAGATTATGTAATTACACATACAATGCTAAAATATTATAGCTATATCTTAAATTATCAATGAGATAAGGTTGCCATGGTAACCTGTATTAAGGGTAGGCAGGTCAATTAAACTATAGCATATAAATATCATAATAACTTGATATTTTAATTATTTTAAAGCATGCGGAAATCATGCATTTTTCTAAAAGAGTTTGGTATTGTTATTCTTTGTTTGTTGCTAAACAAATGTTTATATGTGCTCACTATAACATCACAACAAATCACAATAGCATTGTAGGACAGAATGGGCCAATTGACATTACATGTTATGAGACACACCAAAAATCAAATTGTCAGATTAGGTTAATGTGGCTGATGCAGAGTGTCACATTAACGGATACATTACATGCATTAGGGAACACAATTAGATTTTCTTTTCTTTTAAGAATAAGTTAGAGGACACTGTCAGAGACATGCATGGACTTATTAAGTGCATGGGCAAGGTGTTATATCTGCATAAAGAATCTATAGGTAGTATTGTAAAGAGGAAGGCATGGTCACTGTTGAAGATCATCCACAATCTGGTTGCAAGAAGAGCTTGCGGACAGAGAATAATACTACGATAAATTGAGATGTTACTAATGAAAAGATAGCTATCCCATTGTATAAATTATCAAACAAGGGCAACAGGGGTATGGAACAGATCAATGAATAGTTGGCAATGACTGGAAGATGCGTTTGGTCTGCTTAAAATAGGTACCGAGGAATGATTAAATTAACATATTTACATGTATTTTTGACGTTATAATTTAACCGACCTGCCTACCCTAAATACAGGTTACCATGGCAACCTTATTTCAAAATTAATTAAAGATATAGCTAAAATAGTTTAGCATCGTATGTGTAATTACATAATCTACATATTCTGAAAAAAAGAAAGGGATATGTGAAAAAATCACAAAATGAGAGCATTTTTATCAGAATATATGGATCGCCCCTTGTATAACACTTTGAAATATACGAGTTCACCACCAGGAGGCTCGTTCGGGTCAGATAGCATGGCGGGTATAGTAGAAAGTTCCCTGTAACTTAAATCACATCTGTTTTAGTGGTTCAATTTTCATATAACCCTTATGTATCTATTAGTTATGCAAAGTTATCTGTCCAATACAAGATATTTTCATATTTGTGATTTAGTAACATGGGGTCAATGAGGAATCAACCCGAACTAGAATTTTTCAAAAAATTAGATTTTCAAAGTTGATAAACAATTTTCAAAACCATATTTCTAGATGTACTTTTACATGTAGATTTCAAATATGACAATATTTAATGATGTGAATCAAGATTATTTCTACTCGCAACTAGTCTATTGTCTTGCGTTACTAAGTGCTCTCTTTGTGTGTCATCAGCCATCAAGTTTGTAAATAGAATTCCTATGGAGTCCTCCACACATATCATCTCTATATCCAGGGCACGGAATGTTGCAGCTCGAGTGATGCGCCTCACCATGCTTTCCATAAGTGTTGCTACACCAGCAATCCTGGCCATTTTGCACTCCCATGTATATGAACCCTAGTAAAATAGGTACACGTATGTATTAAAGTAAATATGTAGGGACGTTACACTGCGAGTGGGGCGCCTCATCATGCTTTCCATAAGTGTTGCTAGACCAGCAATCCTGGCCATTTTGCACTCCCATGTATACAAACCCTAGTAAAATAGATAATATGTATTTAAGGTATATATGTAGGGACGTTACACTGCGAGTGATGTGCCTCACCATACTTTCCATAAGTGCTGCTACACCAGCAATCCTGGCCATTTTGCACTCCTATGTATATGAACCCTAGTAAAATAGATATGTATTAAAGTATATATGTAGGGACGTTACACTGCGAGTGATGTGCCTCACCATGCTTTCCATAAGTGTTGCTACACCAGCAATCCTGGCCATTTTGCACTCCCATGTATATGAACCCTAGTAAAATAGATATGTATTAAAGTGTATATATGTAGGGACGTTACACTGCGAGTGATGTGCCTCACCATGCTTTCCATAAGTGTTGCTACACCAGCAATCCTGGCCATTTTGCACTCCCATGTATATGAACCCTAGTAAAATAGGTACACGTATGTATTAAAGTAAATATGTAGGGACGTTACACTGCGAGTGGGGCGCCTCATCATGCTTTCCATAAGTGTTGCTAGACCAGCAATCCTGGCCATTTTGCACTCCCATGTATACAAACCCTAGTAAAATAGATAATATGTATTTAAGGTATATATGTAGGGACGTTACACTGCGAGTGATGTGCCTCACCATACTTTCCATAAGTGCTGCTACACCAGCAATCCTGGCCATTTTGCACTCCTATGTATATGAACCCTAGTAAAATAGATATGTATTAAAGTATATATGTAGGGACGTTACACTGCGAGTGATGTGCCTCACCATGCTTTCCATAAGTGTTGCTACACCAGCAATCCTGGCCATTTTGCACTCCCATGTATATGAACCCTAGTAAAATAGATATGTATTAAAGTGTATATATGTAGGGACGTTACACTGCGAGTGATGTGCCTCACCATGCTTTCCATAAGTGTTGCTACACCAGCAATCCTGGCCATTCTGTACCCCCATGTATTTAAAACCTTGAAATATACAATCATTGTAGTCATAATATAAACGATACCATGAATAATAGTTAATCATGAGGATCGAATGATTCATGCAATGCTTGAATGTACATTGTGCTGGTTCAAGAAACATAGTTCCGAGGATTAAATGCTCAATGTAGAGCTTTTATACAAAGTCGTTCAATAAGTTCACGGGAAAATGCTCTGAATTCTGAAATACCAGCATCTAATATTTGATTGGTCGAAAACAACAGTTACTATGGTAACTTGACGTTTCGGTAGGCGGGGCATCACATTATTCAATAAAGAAAAGCAACAAAATAGTAGGCAAATTTATGAGTGAATGACATGCATTTCCTCTTATCTGAACGACCTGGTACATATTGTATTGATTCGAGGAGCATATTTTTGAGAATCGAATGGTTCATACAATGTTTTAGACTTTCACACAATTTATTTTTTACTCAAAAGCTGTTTTCGCAGTCTGAAATGCCGATCACAATATTTCGTCCTTCAAGAATTCCTTTAATCGTTTAGATATTGAAAATAACTCTGATCAATTGGTCAGTACACGGTCTCGTTTAGACCGTTCTGTATTAGTGGTTTTGTTGACATTAATACGGAATAAATCATACCATTTCATGAAAAATGGTGACCTTGTCCTACGGAAATTGAGATTATGTTTCACAGCAAGTTCGCACGGCGATACGCACATGCTCTGGGAAATTGATTCTACTTTCTATCGACACCAATCACATCTCTGTCGATAGAATAATAAAAAAGCCTTAGGGTCCCAACCTCCTTTGTTTACATTTACAAAAACGTGAAAAAATGCAGGCCGTAGCCAGCTTTCAGTCAGGGGGGTCGAGATCCCAAACATTTCGGTTTTTAGTCAAGGGGGTGGGATTGTGGCATAAACAAGCCAAAAATCAAGATTTATGTTGAATTTTACAAAAATTGATGCAACTTCCTTCATGATTGAGCTAGAAGCTTCAAATAAAAAGCATTTTAAAGCTCTTTTTCATCTATCTCATGGTTATATTTTCATTTGTTATTTTATTTGTTATTGGATCCATCGCACCCCCCCCCCCTGGCTACGCCTATGTACATGTTACGCATAGCCTTACGCTTCTGTTTACACACTCACCATTTGCTCTGCATCTTCTGGAACAAAACGAAAGAGAGTTGGGTGTAACGTGTGATGCTGGAAAAAATCCCTGTAGGTTCGACATATCTCTATTGCTAGTTACATCAACAAAACAACCAATATATGTGTCTTTGTGTCCTACGATGTATATAGAATTTCTGTAAACCGCCCCACACATTGTCTCTTTGTTGCCAGGGCAGGAGACGTTACACTGGTGCTGAGGAGCCTCACCATGTTTGCCATAAGTGTTACTACACCAGCAATCCTGGCCATTTTGCACCCCCATGTATTTGAACCCTACAAATGCATAATTATTTCATGCATTCTGGTGTGCTCTTTTTAACCGTTTCAATCTGGTAAACAGGTAAAGTAATTCAAGGAAATACAAAATTAAAATTACTCGTTGCATCTTCAAAATGGTATAATATATATCATATATATAGTCCAATAAAGCTCATAAATACGTTAATGAACATGCATGACATATGGAATATATTGCACTATTATATCACTATCTAGCTAGCGACAGTATGATTGGTCAAAACTGGGTCACATGTCGTGGGATATCTGGCGATATACAATGGCAATGCTAATCAGATAAGACAACCGTGAGATATCTAGCGATATCCCACGCTCCTGGGAATTTTCAAAGAATTTGTTTTCGTTCAGTGTAAATGGTTTAGTTCAGTGTAAGTCAAAATGGCAGACGAACCGAGTAGATTCGTAAATATATATATATTTCAATGTTAACCTATGACTTAATAATATTAGGGATGTTTAGCTATAGACAGTGATATAATAAAACAAATATCTACATAGGATTTTCCGATACGGATAACATATGAGTACTGGGTTTTAGGATAAATAATAGCCAAGATACGATATACATGTACCTAAGGCTCTCCTAAGACCCAGTACGAATGGTTTATTTAACTTAAACCCCACACTGACTCTTATGAAAGGTAATTGGCCCATGATCCAATTTTTGGAAAATTTGATTTGTTTTGTATTGACTATGGAATAAGTGTATTGAGAAGTGAGTAAGTATAATTGGTTCAGCTAGTGAACTGCATGTAACAGGCCAGGTGAGGTTTAAAATTTGATTCTTTGAATTTACTATTCAACTACTAAATGTGTGAATCGAGTGTAATTAGTTCAGCTTCAGAGCACAACATATATACATTTGAAAGTCAAGAAGTAAACATGGAGCAGGGATGAAGTGCACACAATTTGTGAGGAAGCTTAGATCAATACTCTAGGTTGTAACACAAATCAATAAAAATGTGCAGGAAGAATCTGTAAGGTGCGATACGTATAGCATAATATGATGTGAAATAAAATTAACATATGCATTATATTTCACTAACTTACACGCACCCAATTTTCTACATTTTACTGAACAGAAGCCCAATGTGTTCGGTGTAGCATGTGTTGCTGGGAAAAGTCCCTGGAAATTGGTCATATCCCTGTCTCTGCCAACATCAATAAAACAACCAACATAGTTCTCGTTATGAGTCTGCACTAGTTTGTATATAGAGTTTCTCTGACCTGCTCCACACATAGTATCTCTGTTACCAGGGCAGGGGACGTTACACTGCGAGTGGGGCGCCTCACCATGTTTTCCATAGGTGTTACTACACCAGCAATCCTGACCATTTTGCACTCCCATGTATATAAACCCTAGTAAAATAGATATGTATTTAAAGAATATTTGTAGTTCGTCACACTGCCAGCGAGGCACCTCACAATGTTTGCCGTCAGTGTTACTACACCTAGTAATCCTGACCATTTTGCACTCCCATGCATATAAGCCCTAGTAAAATAGATATGTATTTAAAGTATATTTGTAGTGGACGTCACACTGCCAGCGAGGCACCTCACCATGTTTCCCATAAGTGTAACTACACCAGCAATCCTGGCAATTTTGAACACCCATGTATATAAACCCTAGTTAAATGAATAATGTATTTAGATTACATATTTTATAAATAAAATGGTATTATACGTAACAGTTCTTAATATGTCTCTCTGGAAACACTTCAAGAGTTGACTTCTCAGAGAATTCGTATTTGTCTAGATCTCTGAGAGGGTTATCTGCCTAGCCTAGGCCTTAAAACATCAGCTTATGAATCTAATTCTACACACAGTGGGATCAAACAACTGACATAATTGATTAAATGATTCCTCAAATTAAAAATACAATTTTGGATTTTGATATTCAAGTTTTTAATTTAACACTACCTACTATACTTGTATACTATACTGTAGTATATTATGTATATTCATCGAGCAATTTGCAGTGTATCATTACCAGAAGAGCCCTATATGCAAAGATAGTTAATATCAGCTCCATTTGCAATTTCACAGCCTGTATCCCTTTCAAACGTGGTTGCGTTGTAGGGTAGAGTGTAAAAGCTTACGGCACTGAACTCACCTAATATTCGGCATCTTTTTGAACAGAAGTCTAGGGTGTTAGGTGTTGCGTGTGTTGCTGGGAAAAAACCTTGTAAATTGGTCAAATCTCTGTCTCTAACGACATCAATAAAACACCCAATGTAGGTATCCTGGTCTAAAACAATATACACTTTTAACACATGTTTAAGATGCTTATCTGAGTTTTGTTAGCTTAGTTTGACTTGTTAATTTACAGATTACTGAATCCCCTTGAATACATAAAATCAAATGCATGTACCACAAAATACAAGTATACGTTCCAAAATCTACACTTACTATTTTCTTTTAATTCAGCTATCTCATAAGACAATCTTTCTGCATCCTCTCGAGTACAAAGCTCGTGTGCTGATGAAATGACAACGAAGTATGCGGCGAATACTGTCAAACGTTTCATCTCTGCAATCTGGTAGGGCTGGTTCTCAATGCATCAGAATCAGATAAACATCATAAACAGCTATGCCTGGTAAAGTACTAAATTATGGCTCTGTGATATATTGCTACTTTATTGTATTTTAAAATACCTATTGTTTACAGTACTTGATAATATGTGTTTCAATGATTATTTGCCTTATATATTACAGATAAAAAATAAATATACCATTCTTTTTAAGACAATGAAATAAATACATACTGAATAGGAAATGGTCATATGTTCAGTGTTTTAGTCTTTACCTCACATCTTTATTTCGTTTAACCTCTTGTTTATGTCACATTTTACAGGGTTGTCCAAAACACAGGAACGAAACTTACTCAAATGTATGTAGAAAATATATGTTTATTTTAGAATACGTCAAAATATCACTGAACATTGGCCACTCCAAAATACATTGGCTGGCAATTTATAAATGATGCCAATTATGCTAATGATTTAAAACAAGACTTTGGTTTAAATTATCCTTCTTCTGAATTAAACATGTATGCACAAGTGCCAAAGGGAAAGGAACAACACTATTACAGAACACAGCATGAAGGAAGGAAAGCATCCAATAGCATACTAGTCACAAGGAAAACAAACCCCAACTTTCAACTTTCCCAAACCATAACCTAATGTGAGAAGAAACAATATCTACATTTGTAACCTGCCCATCTCCCAAAATTCAAGTACCATATCATAATTCAGCACCACCGCACCAAGGGACATTTCATCCATACTCAAGTCATTACAATATATGTTTAGAATAAAGTTAATTTGATAACCAATGCCCATAATATCAAAATAATTGAAGATACTTACTAGTATTCATACAAAATAGAACAATCAGTCTCGAATGATGTGGGACAGACAGAATTTAGACTCGAAGTCTATAGGCTTAGATATCAAAGGATCAACATCAATCTGATGCTATAAATCAATTTAAAACACAATATTTCCAAATTGTGATATCCGACATGCTGAATCAGTTTGATATCTCTTACGCATTGATTTATGTTCAGAAGACGACATATATCACTCATGGGACTTGATAGATAGTTAGATTCTTGTTGGCAGATTTTGGTTAAATTTGATTTGAGGATAGTGTATGGTCTGATGGTAGATGGTCTGTCTCGCGAGACTACAATATAGAATTCTGAATAATCTTTTTGATCTACAAATGATGTTGCTGTTAGTTCAGAATCATAGTGTTTGACTAACAAATCATGTGGTTAGACTTTTCACATGTGAAAGGAGTGGTATCAATATGGAGAACTTTTTGAACACACGTTTCTCTTAAACCAGTCATAAAAAATCTAAAAATTTAACATCATCAACTTAATGGTCATCTTTTGAATGGTAACAATATAATTTGAAAAATGTACATATACTTTTATCTATATTGTTTTAGAAAACACATCAGGCACTTGTTTTGTTCTTGGTATCATGTTTCAAGAGTGAAATGAAACATCTTTCCGAACCTCATTGGAACAAAACGACATAAACACAACATGTTTAGGTCTCTCAATATTGTATTTATACAAAGGAAATTTTATCTTGATTTTTATCTATTTTGGGGGGATTTTGTTTTAATTTTTTGAATACTTTTTTAAAATCAACCAAAAACTCCTTTGTATAACTATAATATTGAGAGGTCTAAAAACATGTTGTATATGCTATTTTGTTCCAACGAGGTTCGGAAATACGTTTTCATTCTCAAGAATTGGTAGAAAGGAGCAAAAACAATTGCACTAAAAAAAACAAATGTTCGCATTAAATTGTTGTCAATCAGTCAACATTACATAAAATACCGTGTTTTTTACAGAATGTTTTCAATGATTGGTTTAAGAGAAAAACATTGTTGAATTCAGTTCTCCATATCGATACCACTCCTTTGACACAGAAAATGTTAAGAAAAAATGCTATTAAAACTTCATATCTATCTTCTCTGATTCAGTTGAAGAATTCTTATTGTCATGTTTTATCATAAGATACAATTGATAAGATAATTATGATATAAAGAAGTTATTTTTATTCAACATTTATTTACAAATACACATCATATTACATATTACTGTGTTTGATATAACAACCGACAAAGTCTTTGTGACTTTGTGGAATATTATTAGCCTTTTAGCTATGCATGATTAAATAAAATGTTTAATTTAAATCTATCATCAACCAAGCGATTATTTTCATGTTGTAATAAGCAAGTAATTGGAGAATTATTGAGTCATAATGACAAACGACATAATTGTTAATACAGGGTGGGCCAAAAAAAACAATACCCAACTTCAGTTCAATATTATACATTGACTTGTATATCATTTTAAAGGTTAAATATTTTCCAACAATATGGTATATAACACTATGTAATAAAATCAATAGTAAAGGTATATTATACTTATTTGGGAGGCGGGGTCGCTATTTAAGGTCTCTAGATTTTAGGGAGAAAACAGTAAATCTGTGGAATTTTGTAAACTTTTTATTTATAGAATATTATTTTGTTAGGTGAATACATGCTTGTATATTTGCATCATTGTGTGACTAAACTTATTGTTTATGAACTTCAGTATTGTTTAATAACATTTTACAATTTATTTATTTAAACAATTGCTTCATATGCTCCCTCCTCCCTCTGCGTCAACAATAAGGTTCAAGCAGTAGTGCCATTTATCAAGATATTTCTGTTGCAATACATCCCAGTGCTTTAGGATTCCGCGGTTCATCTTTCACATTTTTATAAGCAAAGCAGTTGTAAAATATAGATTGAACAAGCCTCCATTAGGTTGAAAATTCTGATCGTGATAAAAATGTGAAAGATGAGGAGCTCTCTCAAGTGGGACCAACCTAATGGAGGCTTGTTCAATCTATATTTCACAACTGCTTTGCTTATGGTACCTTCATTGAGATTAGCACTCGAACATCCTACTCTGACAACACTTTCAGTTGCATAATAACTGTACATGTATCATGCATCAATCGTCGTCCCTTCACAGGATGTTAATGAATGGCCATGCTTTCAAATTACATTTTAATCCTATAAGTAAATTGGCAGACTAGGCATTTGTTGTCACTTTCTTGTAACATAATATGTACATATGTACTACTTTGCCATAAAGATATTATTTCCTTGTAGAAACAGGTGCTGAATGATCTGAAAAATATCGTCCACATTTAGTTATGTGATATATAAGGTGTTCATGAAGTCAATTTACAGTTTAAACACAATGTCTGTATAAAGATACTTTTTGGAACTGTATCATCATCAATATAAAGGAAATATAACCCTATAAATATACTCATCATTTACCTAGGTTTCTAGAAGAAATTTGGGGAATTATTCCTGAGGCTGGCAATCAAGCTTACATCTCACGGACCCTGATTTACAGCGACATCTTTTACAGACATCTACTGGGTGAGCGAATTCAGAACCATTTTTGTAGAATCTGCCTTCATAGTAACAATCTGAAATGATGAAGCGGGAATATACAAATAAAAATAAATAAATCAAGAGGATTTTCTTTCCTGTTACATCGTATGTAAGAATTTTAAGTAATCTAGTCCATTAATATAGTTAGTTTCTAGATTCAAAAATATACATTTTTATTACAGTGAATAGTCTGTCCGACTGTATCAAATGGTGAGTTTTGCTTTTTGTAACAGATTATTCTAGTGTTTATTTGGTGTTTATTCTAGTATTTATCATGTGTTATAAGCAACAATCATTGGTGCAAATGTAGACGATGGCTACCTATGTGGAACAGTAATATAAACAGCAGAGATCAACACATAGAGAATAATTATTGCATAAACGGGAGTTTATAGATTACATAGATGACATAGATTACTAATTTATTTGCAAGCCTATATAGGCTAATATAACACATGGATATTTGTTGTTTATTTGCAATTATATGAATGATGTACCATAAGCTTCACCAGTGTGATGTAAAATTATCCAATAGAATAAATCATTTTAAAGTTAAAATTACCTAATCTAAACATTAAAAAGGTATACCGTAGATACCGCAAGATATTACGTTATTAAAATTACCTACTACCTACTACCTTACTATAAAAGGTAATTTTATATAACACGGGTGCAAGCTTAATGTTGATATCCCAACATCTCCCATTACTTGCCTCTACACTGAGGACAACACCGTCCCCGAGGGACAGCTGGGTGCTGGCACTTTCCCCGGGGACATGTTCGTCTCTCGCATGTTATATTGCCCTGACTGCATAGACACACGTCACACGGGGAGTTATGCTTCAAGAATTTTTCCCGATTGCGGAATATTTTCTGTTGAAGACTACAACCTATAATTGAAGATAATTGAAAAATCGATGCATAATTTCCGAGTATTTTATTTTGTTAATTGAATATGATGTTAGAAATGTATTACTGTCAATACTGCAATTACAAAAGTAAGTTTAAAAGAAGATTAAAAAGGTAACAATAGCGAATAATCTTTGTGACATGAAAAGAAAAGCATTTTAATTTCTACTACGCAACATGAACTCTTACCCAGACATTCAGGACAGCATTTATGCTTGTTTTTAGCTGGATGAGAGCACAAAGGATTAGGGCAGATTTTCTTCTTACATTTCTCAACTCCATTCTGAAATAATGAAAAATTAAGTGTTAATGTTTATAGTCTTATAATGGACTGCTAAGGCTTGCTTTGTTCCGTACCAGGTTGTTCCATTACTCTGTATTCACCACACAAGTGCATGTTTTATGGTATGAAGAACAGATTGTAGCATAACTATGAACTCACCAGACAAGTGCAATTTTTGCATGGACTGATGTAAGCTGTTGTTACGATACTATGTACTCACTAGACAAGTGCATGTTTTATGGTCTGAAGAACAGATTGTAACATAACTATGCACTCACCAAACAAGTGCATGTTTTTCATGGACTTGAGTATCAGGTGAGCGGTCAAGACAAATGCAAGTTTTGCATGGACTGGTGTAAGAGGTTGTTACAATACTACAGAATCACCAGACAAGTACAAGTTTTGCATGGACTGACGTACCACATTTTTTCATTACTATAATGATAACACAAATGCAAGTTTTGCATGGACAGGTGTAAGATGTTATTAGGATACTATGTACTCACCAAGCAAGTGCATGTTTTGCATGGACTGGCGTACCAGGTTGTTCCATTTTTGTGTCCATTACAATCTGCACAGTTAGGGCAGCATTTTAAACTTGAAGTTTTTGGACTAGAAGCCGCTTGACTTTGACACCTTGGACAAGGTTGTGGAATACAGTAAAGATTTCCAGCATTACATCGACAGAAATCACAGGGTCGATCGGGTACTTTAATTTCATCACCATGACCATATATGGTATCATTGTACTCACAGCCTTTTAAAACATTAATTGAAGTACAGGTTACCAATAGATTCACGCCCAGGGCTCATTGCATAGTGGATGATTTAATCAACTCATGTTTTGTTTCCAGACCTTTGAATAAGTGCGGCAGCTCGTGTCTTGGCAATGCAATTATTTGAAATACTGTCTTTTAATTAGCTTGAATTGGACACACTTTGTCTAGCAAAGTTAAATAAAATACTAATCAGAACTATATGCTTTAATTTTGCAATTTTCTATAATATATTATCATTTTCCCTGAAATGTATAATCCTGGTCAAAACCCCATACATGAATCACTTACTGTAACACGTCAGACAACATTGAGCAGGTAGTCTTGCAGGGTATTCACAGCGAGGAGTAGGGCAACGTCTCTTTACACATTCTACAACTCCATCTGTACATGTACAATAGTGACAGGGGAACCCCTTTGAGTCTTCACTTCTGTAATTGTCCAAAGAACACTCTGAAATGCATTTGAGATCATTGAGATAGTTTAACAAAATCTATTTTTAATCTATCTTCATTTAAATGTAACAATTTTAATGAATTAAGCACATGAAAATAAGGTTAACCAACATTGAGTTCTATAAACAAACTGACCACCCTTACGTTTGGTGCAGTTGACGACTTTCCGAGCGTTTGTCTCATTGTACCAAGTTGCCTGACATTCCCCATGTTGTTTGATCACTTTGCATTTGGCTCTGGGTTGATTCGGACAGATTGCATCAATGCATGCTTCGTCTGGGCAGTCTGGATGGGTAATATGGCTGTTTCTGAGGTGTTTGCTCTCGAAACAGAACCTAGATAGCATTTCACATTTGATACAATTTAAAAACAATCAATTTAAAGAACAACACAGTTAAAAACATCAAACAACAATACACACCCTTGTAAATCATGGACATAAATATAACAGCAGGTTGACCTAGATGTCTATGAAGCAGTACAAAAGAAAACAAAAATAGGAAAAAGTCAAGATATTCTGTATCACCTCTTGTCCATTTCATTGTTACTCGAAGTGGACTCAGTTGACATCTCCGGGGGTACGGTGAGGTTTTGTTTGAGTCTATTCTGAATATCGTTTGATATTTCCTTTAGAAGGTTCACCTGAAAATAAAAAGTAATATATATTCAAGGACATGAACAATCTGGCTATAAACATTTAAGATACAATAAGAAGCAAAATCACAACCATGTTGCATAACAGATCTCAACACCTCAAACACTGACCTCACATATAAAAATGTGTACATCAGAAACAATACCCACAATATAAAAAACACAGGACAATTACTGACAAACGTCATTACATATTTTGATTAAATAACAGCAAAAGATTAAATAATTTACTTTTTTATTGATGCTTCATTTTTCTCTACCTAAAGCTTACTAATACTATACAGGGAAACAGGAACAATATAAAATGGTATATTAGTATTTTATTGATACACGCATAATTGTTATTTACCTGCTGATGTCTGAACAGCCAATAATATTTGATCCACTGATTAGGAATGTTGCTTTGTCGCTCACATATTCGCTTTATCTTCATTAACATCGACAAGGTACACTTTCTTAATTGCTTTTGCAGATCTAGGAATGTCCTTATATAGAGGCATTTCTCACTGATAGATTGAGTATTAACTTTAGCTTCAATGCTACTATCATCAGTGTGTTCCCTTAAATTTTCATGGCTTTCAATTTTGTAGACGCTAGATTTATATTCCCCATCACGGCTATACCCTGCTATATCATAACCTTCTACATCATAGCCAAATACATCCCGACCGTGAATATCATTAATACTTATGGTGTCATTTCTCACACTGACATCATCGTCTTCATCACTAATATTGGGTTTGGTCTTAGATGCTTGTAGTTGAATGTATGGTTTCCGTTCACAGTTTCCATGAATCTCTTTGTATTGTGCGCACGTTGATCTTTGGCTGTTGAAAACTGAGTCGGGTGCAAGCTTAAATGGTTCCAGTGGAACATAGCGCTTTTGGGAGGGATAAAACATTCTTGGATCTCGATTATTTCTCTCCCAACTATCCCATAATTTATCTAGATATGCATGATGGGATAGAAATATTGGGTCATAAGGACTGAATTCTGTTTTCATGTGACCACCAACCCAGTTGTGAAATAGAGCAGAGGCAGCCTCAAGTTGGAGTCTAAATTTTGTATAATTAGTCTCCCTTGTTACAATTTCCATGGCAACTGCATCAGGTAGCTTAATGCGGTCATCAAAGTTCCGTCTTAGGCATGGTGCCCATTGGATGTGATGTTTAAAAGGATGATACATGACACAACCTTCAGTTCCATGCCCATTTCCTCCAAAATAGTTTCCCGACCAGACAATGGATGTGTTTAGAGCTCCAACATCAATCGTCCAATCAAAATACGGTATACTAATTTGACAATCAATTTTCTGAAGATCAGTTTCAACGTGACGTAAGAATAGTCTATTCCATGGTAAGAACCCATCATTTCCATAGGCCTGTGGAATGAACTTAGAGTGCAACTCGGCAAATTCAAGCCATTTATTTGATGTAACATTAGCAGCTAATGTTTTAATTGCATTTTGATATTTCATAAGTTCCTCATAAGGAATAGTATGGATGGATTGTCTAGTTGTAATGTGTGTACATGTGCATTCCAGCGAACCGTCCCAATTACATTTACACGTTTGACAATTTGTAGTGAACTCTTCCCCAAGACTAAAAAATAAAATGTAAACTGATCAATCTCTACAATAAATATTTTTTATATCGCATTTAAAGGTGTTGCGAGATTGTGAATCATTTCATATATCAAAAAACTATAGAAATACAACAGACGACTATGAAAAATCTGATTCAAGAGATTAAAAAAATTGGAATGTGGAAACAAAATCAAGACAAAAGAAAAAAGTAAAGTAAGGAAATACTAAATTAGAAAAAACAGTAACCTGTAAGACTGACCGCCGAGATAGCATCCACATGACTCCTCACAGTGTATCTCATGGCAACGCTTTCCTGGAGTCCATTTTACAACTTCAGCCATCCCATAATAATCACTCTCTTCCACTCTCTGGCAGTTCGCATACGTCATGGCACGACACTCATAAATAAAGCCTGCTACTGTCCCATCATGATTCAAGTTATGCACGTCATTTCCATGGCAATCAAAACCTGCTCTAAACAATGTGAATATTTAAAAAATGATTATCAAAACATGCTGATTTAAAACTCGTTATATAATGCTGATTTCGAATATGGTAGTCTCAAGGAAAATATGATTTTGAAGTTTTGACGAACAACAAATTGTTACTAAAGATCTAATAGAGAAAGCCAAATTATTATAGTTTTCTGCTTCACTTGGTAGTTAAAATAAAATCAATTATTCATTTTGTAAAACCTTATTGCTTGTCCTACCTGTCAAAACCTTCGGTGTCAAAGCCATTTTCCCCAAAGTCAATAATTCCGTCAAATTCACCAAAATCATTGAATCCCTTCCTGTCAAATCCTGTCGCACGATGGTAGCCGTTTTTGTTGTAGCCATGGCGATCTAAACCATTTATGTTTAACCCATTGACGTCATATCCTGAAAAAGAAAAAACACTTATTTTCAATCTACTTTCTCACATTATGTTAATGAGAAGGCTAGGTAAATGTGTCTTCAATATAAACTGATTTGTTTTAAAAAATACATTCAAATCAAAAACAGTAATTATTGTCTTGAAATATAAATGACAACATTGAAAAATCAGCAAATTCAAGGGAATAAAATGAAAGATGACTTATTTATAAATACTGTGTGTTCTACCTCTCCAATCGTATCCATTTATATCAAATCTTCCTTTGGTGTATTTCATGGAGTTGTTTAAAGTCTGCAAATGGTCAGATTCTTTCCCATTGCCTTCAATGTCAAAACCATACCTGGAATTGGTATGCACATCACATCAACATTTAATTAAGCATGCTTGGTGATATGTCTCGCATAAAATGAAACCAAAATGTCAATGCCTATTGATATGAAAAAAAATCATTATGGGTGCAAAACCTTTTGGATAATTTAGGATCAGTATTACAGATATTATCCCTTTATTTTACAGAAATCATAAAAAGAGCATCGAACAAAAATAAAACGTTCAAAGTATCACAAAATGTAACATACCTGTCATATCCTTCTGGGTCATATCCATACGTCACATCCTGTCTCTTTGCGTTTCTATAGCAACATGCTCCAATGAAGCACCTTGCACGACAGGCATTAAAACTAGGGAAATTGTTGCTGTTGCCATAGCAGCCATTGTAGGAAAATTTCTCACACTTGTTGGTTTCTGAATTGTGATACCAACGGAGAAGCATGGTGGAATTACAAGGCTCTCCTGGATGTAAACGTGAAAGAAATCATTACGAATTACTGGTAAGTAACTAACGACTTTGATGCAAGCACGTTTCCAATTAATAGTCGGGCCATAGCCAATAAGGCATATGTAAAAGCTTGAAAATTAGTTCCCATTTTAAGCTGCCCTCCTCAGTAAAAATATAAATACAGATGTATACCTGTGTTGAAATCCTTCCATTAATTGATGAGATGAGGGACCTCAATGAGTCCCTCAACATTTCAATCGCTTTAAACCCAAAAAAGATAAAACTTATGAATCGACCCTCATAATCCAATAACATGTATATTACAACTGAAACCAAGTTTACAGCCAAATTTTTACTTTAACTTGGTTTTATTTTACCTTTGTCAAGGGGTAAAGTACACCGATGCCGTGCCTCAAACTGACAGAACCGTCCCTGGTAGCCCACGTGACACTTACACGTCACTAAATCAGGTCTATCTGGCCAATTAGAAGCCATGCATGTTCCCGAGTTAACGCATGGACTGGGATTACAGTAGTCTGAAACAAAAGCACATAGAACTTACATTTTGAGATGCATGACAAACATGTGGTATATTCATACACAGAGGAATAAGAGGAAATTAAATTGAGGAAATATATAAAATAGTTTCAGGAGACATAAGGGGTTTCATAAATATATGTTCGATTGTCTGGTAATATTTGTTGTATAATGTTGCGTTCCAGACTACTTCAGATTTGCGTTGTAGACTTGCTTATATTTACGATACCTTTCTTTGGTGTACAATCTATAACTTTGCCAACGTACACCCACTTGGCCTGACACTTGTCACAGAAATCAATCGTGCATACAGCTTTGGGATAAGCCACACAAGTGACATCTATACATGGGTTCATGTTACATTTGGCATAAGAGTCATTACACATCATAGCCAGGGTAAATATTGACACGTCAAAACAATAAGATTCCCTGAAAGACCCTGGTATCTCGGTCTTTTGGGTGTTTTTATTGTTGGGAGATCCTGCAAAATAGCAACAAAGGGTTATTGCTCACTTCATTTGTAAATATGTAGATATTTGAAAATACTTGGGCTGAAATTTTGAAATTGAGAAACGGACATAGAGACGAATAAAATATGCTTCTTTTGATTAAAAAAATATAGTACTATTACAATTTAAATAAGTACCTTTTAGGCAAGGGGCTTCCATCAACCAAAGTTGGTTGGTGATAAATTCAGGAATTGGTTGCAAGGTATGACAACTTCGTTTAAGAGTATTCAAAAATGTTCTCTTTTGCTGAATCAGGATACGCCATAATGTATTATGTAATTCCATTTTTTGTTTGGATGTTACATTTCCCCCTTGTTGAGAATTAGTTCGTCCCCGAGCATAAGTGACACATAATTGCGCTTCCGATTTCAGTACATAATAGGGTTTAGTTTTGAAGGGCATCATGGGAACCTCTATATACGTTGATGGGTAGTTATGCTCGTTGTTAACAAACGATGGTCCAGTTTGCCACGTCCAGTAGAGGTTATCAATATAAGCATGAACAAAAAGAAAAATGGGGTCGGTTGGGTTTAACTTTGTTCCAAAATGTTTGAAATAAAACCAATGAAAGTAAGTTGATATGGTTTGTAGGCCTTTGCTCATCTTTAAATAATCTCTTTCTTGTAAAATCAGTAAAACGTCAATCAAGGATGGGACTGAGTTCTTCATAAGATTATATTCTGAATTTTTTATGACCTTGTTCCTAGATTGTTTTACGGCATCCTCTCCACCACGTTTCCTCTCATTATTTACCATTGTTGCATAGTCATCATTGTTTGCATCACTTTCTTCGAAGAATTCAAAATATTTCAAAGTAATACCAGTAAGATTACGACTATCACTTATGAAGTCCAAATATGGTATTGTTACGTCACAATTGATTTCTTGTAATTTACGCTCAATGTAACGCAAGTAAAGCCTGTGCCATGGTAGAAAGAAGGGGGTTGACTGGGCTTGCATGACGTGTGTTGAGTATATATTTGCCATGTCCCCCATGAATGTGTGTAGGCTTGAATTATTCATCGTGGTCAAGGTATTTTTGAAACGCTTTAATTCTGGTAATGACATATTTCTGATTTCTTTGCGAACAGCTAATTTTGTACATCTGAAAAGTAAAATCAAATTGTTTGATTCCAAAAAAAGTCCAATCGAAATATCCTAACTGTTTTTCAGCACTCTCTATACCCTGTATACATCAATTCTGTTTAGTTTTGTAAAATATCTGTTTGAAAGATGTGTACGTTACGTTTTTCACACGGAGAATATGAATATCGCCCTTGGTTTCTGTTGCACTTCGAGAAATAAACGTATTTCCCTCGGGATAAAGCCGGTATCATCAGTATATAACCTTTATAAATCATCCTATGGAGGATCGAGCATTTAGCCCCTATTGTAAGCAGTTAGCCAGAGCAAAAATGTTAAAGTTGGTAAACTTTAGACGACTTTACTCAAAATAAAAGTTAACTCTAAAAACTTAGAGCAAAACTACTGCATGGTAGATGAAAAAAAGTATTTTGCCAAATATGTAGTTGCACCACTACTCATAGATTTAAGGAAACTATGTTTTGAGTTAAAACAATTTTTTGGAAATTACCTGCATTTGATGTGACCTCTTGGCAAACACTGACAACCTTCACAACCACTTTTAAACTTCTCTCCATACTTATACATCGTTTGGCCCAGTTGGCAAGCCATAGGAGATTCGTAAATGTCAGCTCGGCATGATTGACCAGCATGGAACGAAATCACTTCATGCTCTATGTCCGATTGTGGGACCTGTCCAAGGTTTTGACATGTAGGTATATTCAACTTCTGAAATCAAATTATTCATGATATTGTACTTCTATGGTTTTATAATCTAAATTAAAATTCTTTCTTCTAAAGTGCTTTGCCGCAACTTGCTTACATTTTTATCACTTGACAATATTTTGATTTCATGACAGAAAAAGACTGAATCCATGAACATAATCAAATACAAAAATAAGAAACGAAAAAACAAACAAGCCAGAAGAGATATTTACTTGACATTTTATTAGTGGCTGTAGGATCGTTAACTCTATGCCTGCTATTTTTCTTGTGTTGTAGTTTCTATGGTAACACGCTCCAACTTCACATACATCATGACAATCAATCCAAGTGTGAAAATTATTCACCGATCCACCACAACCTTTTACGATATGAAGAAATCGAAGAAATATGAAGAAAATACTTGTACATCAAGAGGTCTAAAAATTAATTTCGCCATTGCAAAGTGAAAAAACACAAATTGTGGCATCACATGGTCAATTTCATTAAATCAATCAAATTATTTATTTATAATATACACTAAAACATCGGGATATAATAAAATGTATATGAGCTGCATGTAAGAGCTGGTCAAACCTTACTCGAGTCTATAGAGAAGGCTTTGGACCGAAGTAAGTCAAACCATTAATTGCCCCTATGTTAAAATATGGAGCCATATTTTGCCAATATATTACCACTACCTTAAGTGTTGGAAAAATGCTAAAATGATAAAATGTCATATCTAATGTGCTACTTCAATGTTTAAGCACATCAAATATATTTTGCAACCTAAGTGACCTCATCGTATTACGCCGGTGGCAAAAACGTTTTTTAGTTTAATTTTTTCTATTTTAATCTTTTCTAAATTAGTTGATTGTCTAACCAGATTAAAAGGAATAATACATTGTGTTTTAAAAATCATTGTACCATTGTTTTCTAATGAGAACTAAAATTTTGAAATGCATTTTTCTCTGAACCATTTTCATGCATGAATGAGTTCATTTTTCGTTTATTTGTGAACTTAATTCTTTTGGCAAAAAAAACGCATGAGTGAATGCTATGCATCGGTGTGAATTATCGCTTATAAAAAACATATGACCTCCAAAGTTTTAAATAAATTCACGAACAAAAAGTCCTTAAAAATAACTTTTTGAAATTAAAAAAAATTTCATATATCAAACTTTGATAATGTCATTGGGTAAGATTACAATATAAGTCAAAGTGTTCTAACTTTATTACCCAATGTTGGTTGCGAATTTTTTTTAGGAATAACCGAAAGGTGAACATATAATGTCATGTAGAACATGTACTGTATGTAAAGTAGAATTCTGTTTATCTAAACTAACGCCTAATCAACAACATTGCCATGGGAGTTTGTGTTGGTAGCTCAACATTTGGTGGGTAGTTTTTATTTAGATATCTTACCCGAGTATTGGTAGCTCCTACAATTTTGGTAGCGTTCGCTGTAGAAATATTTCGTCACATTTTCATTGCAAGAACCAACCTTAAATGATAGAAAATTGAAGAGGCACAAAGGCTAGAGATAAAATGAGAGAAATTATTTATTTATTAATTGCTCAAATCAGTCCAGAACATGTCTATTTTCAATTTTAACAGTTGTAACTATTTTATGATATTGCTTTGAGTCAGTCTTAGGTTATTTGGCAATAGTTTTGAAATGTCCATTTTCACTTTTATAGATTTAAACATCCCCTGTGAGATTCTCCTCGCGGCATTAATCTACCTCAGCCTCTCTTACCTTAGGCGGATACGAGCAAGGGTTGATCTTCACGGAACAATCTGGGCCAGAATAGCCATGGGGACATAAGCAACTGTACCCTCTGGCTGTTCCATCTGCCACACATACCCCCTCGTTTTTACATGGAGATTTTCGACACTTTCCTGTGAATAGAATATAAAAATTTGGATTGGTAAAAGACCAGTACAATTTCTGTCACTTGTGAACGACATAACTGCGGAATTTGAATGTTTATTTACTGAAAGAAGTTCGGAACATACTACAGGTACATCTGGCAAGTGAATAGCTGCACATCAAAGTTATTACGTAAGTTGGGTTTATAAATACTCCATTCGGGACCGAATATCAAAGATAATCCTTATAATTTAAAAGACGGTATAACTCAGGGCCTCGATTTTCTTTAAAAAATTAACCTAATTTTTACAATTAATACAGGGTGATTAATAGGAAAACAAAATAATTCCACCTGCATTCAAAGGCGACCCATGACATAATGTGATCTATATCCAAATATAATTATTTGCGCACCATTTCTCAACTTGCAAATAACTTTATCTAACACAAAATAACTTGCAATTGGAGACATAAAACTAAGCTTTGTATTGAATGACAATTTTTTGAAAATAATCATAGATCAGTCTTAAATTTACCTATGCATTCCTGTGATTCCTTGTCCTGTCTGCAAATTGCACCTCCACCCTAAACAACGAAAAATATACAAGTAAATGTAGTACAATAACGTACAATGCATTAAATTTACTGTAGTACAATGCACGGACATGAACATAAGATTCATTGTAGCACATTTCACGTACAATAAACATTAGATTCAAAGTACAATATAATATTATACTCGTACAATAAATATGATCCAGTGTAGGACAATACACGTACAATATACATTAAACTCAATGTATAGTGAAATGTGCTACAATACGCACACATGAAAATATGCATTTTATTCAATGCAGTGCATTTCACGCACAATGAACGTTATATTCAATGCATTAGAACACACCCACAATACCCCGGCGCAATACTGATTATGGTACATAATACATGATGTACAATGTACATTTGATTCAATTAAATAGAACAATATTACACCCCGTTTGCAAATGTTGGTGTCGAAAGGTTTCGGTGCCGGTATGAAAGAAATGATGGTCCACCAGGGATTATGGTCCCCTTTGTTAACGGCCCTTACTGGCCCCGATTGTGTATAAGATAATGAGGGAAAGAGTTATATTTAGGTCACCATATAAATCAATGGAGAGTAGGACTATCATTTGATAGGACCTCCTACCCTTTTACACCGGATCGGTGTCGAAACGGCGCCGAATTATATCGGCTGTGTATACATATGCCAATGATATGTGCAACATATACTTTACAATTTACATACGCGTTGTACAATATAACTAAAATAATGACCTACTTATCTTCATACCTTACATTCACAAATGGTACATTTCTGAGGCCGCCATATTTGTTTCGATCTGTACCATGTCCCATTGTCAAAGCACGATCTTTGACAGTCACATGTCTCTAGATAACTCACTCGACCAATCAGCTCTTCATTCTAGAGAAAGAATATTACTTCATCAGGGACAATATGATTTATTTAACCTTGCATTCGCGAATGCATCTAACGCCTGTCGGCTACCGGATTAGCCTAGTATTTTATGACCAACTCATTTAAATATGAATGGAATAGTGGCAGATACTGTACTATCATATTTAAATGAGTTTAATCCGGTAGCCGGCAGGCGTTAGTTGCATTCGCGAATACAAGCTTTGGTACATTTCTCAACTCTCAGCTTTAAGCATGAATTGTTTATTAGAAGGGAGTTGCGGAATCTCGCTATTAACCGTTAAATGCATAGCTATTGGTTGCAAACTAATTACCTTTAATTTTGAGAAATTTTGTTTATTTTTTACAGTACATTTCATAGATACGTATATAACAAACAAATTGATATTAAAAGTTGTGCATTAAAAATATGAAATTAACCAAATGGTAGTAATTTTAAAAGGTGCTCTGCCATCCAAGGTGTTAAAATTTCTGCGTAATTGCCTTAATCAAGGATATTATTTTGCATGTAACGCCCATTTTAGGGTGTTTCATGTATCAGGAATTCTCTTGGATCACAACGGCCCTTTAACACGGGGTTACAAATGGTGCTGGAAATTTACAAATTTACTTTCAAAAAAATCAGATAAGGTCAAAAATGCTCCGTCGGCCATTCTTTCCCTCCCATTGGCTTACGTTGTGGTCGACGTCCACTTTTCAATGGAAAACATTGTGTTCAACTACTTTTGCTGCTCATTTGCCAGGAATGACTAGAACCAATTTTCTGTTTAAAGCATTTGGGAATACATCAAAACAGTCTGAATCGTTGCAAACTAGACTGTCCAGTGTCCACTACTGTTTTTTCTGTCAACAATTTGAGCATTTTAGAAAAATGTTATCATAAAATAACAAAATATTCCATTTTAAATCTAACAAAACATGTTTTGGAAAAGTGGCTAGACCCCATCCCCCAGATAATGGACTGGCAATATCTAGCAAAGAAGTGCGAAACAATGTTTTCCATTGAAAAGTGGGCATGGCCCAGAATGTAATCCAATGAAAGAGTGATCAACAGACCAGTTTTAACGTAATTCGATTTCGTTGAAAAAAAATCTGTGAACAACCAGTACCATTTGTAACCCCGTATTACAATGCCGTTGAGATCTGAGAACATGCTTTCAGCATGTAATTCAATGAAAGAATGGTCGACGAATCCGATTCTGTTGAAAATATCTGTGAACAACCAGTACCATTTGTAACCTCGTGTTACAAGGCCGTTGTGATCTGAGAACATGCTTGAAAAATGAAACACCCCAGCCCATTTCCAAATGGCAGATGTTGGCCCATAATTTGGAAATATGGGTAAGCAACTCAGTATATAACACAACCATTACCTGTTTCTGAAGATGAGATAGCTTGTTGACAAGTCGATTCACTGCTATTTCTAAAATGTCCAATCTTTCTCTGTCATTGCTTTCTCTGAGCCCCATTAATCTCACAGAGCCATCTATAGGAAAAAAACACAAACTCCTTGATATACATGTAACTGTAATCGTTATCAGAAATACGATGGGGTAAATTTAAGGACTGCAATTTGAAGCCTCGATTTAAGGTTCACTAAAGTCCAATAAGATCATTTATTTCTGAAGTTTGGAAATTATGAAAATGAATTACAAGTTCAAATACATGTATAGCATATCCCATTTGATTTACATAGCTTCATGTATTGCCGCTGATCCATTCCCGACAGTATTCATGAAAATTATTTGGCCTTCATGCAAGGTTCTACTTACCTTTATGATTTTCTGGTTGTGTTGCACTGTGACCTTTTAGCGTCACTCCATGGCATATGAGTATATTATAATTATGACTTATAATTGTCAATAACAGCATGGACGTCCATGGTAAAAGGAACTTTGAAAATATCCCCATCAGCATCATGCTGTTCAACGGTTTTTGCTCACAACCCCAAGCGTCCAAGAACAGATCATGAGTTTAGAGCCTCTACAAAAGATGAGAATGAAACGTAAATCAATGTAACTTAGACCATTATCTTTAACAGAAATCAGAGGTTGGACGTTGATCCGGACGCAGTTTCCGAGTATATTTTATTAAGTATCAAGCCATCATACCAATGTCAAATCAAGAATCTAACATATGGGGGGGGGGGGCACATTTCAAGTCAGCCAAAAAATCTTCAAAAAAATATTCCGTGTCAATTAAACCAAAAATTGGGCCCACATTTTGAAAATTAAAGTCCCATTTTTGATAATTTGGCCAAAAAGGCAAATTATGGCCAGAAAGGCCCATTTAAGACCTGTATTTTTGAAGTCCCTTTAGGGCCCTCAAATCTAAGTTTCGTGGGCCCATCTGGGGGGGGGGGCAGATTTTCCAGTTGTCACAGTCAAAATACACCCCATGGTCCGACAATGGTATAAGTTATCATTTAGATTATATCACTAAATCAAATAACACATTTACATATCCAAAACCAGTTGATTGCTAAAGATGAAACTTGAACTTTGTACAAACAGAACACTCATCAATATCACAATAAGTTTTAAATTTCCAAAGAAAAATTTGAATATAATATCGAAAAGGATGTGGCTTATTTCAAACTAAAACGTCTAAGTGGTGTAAAATGAAGTGACAGACGATATACCAATTAGTTAGACTCATGACTTGCTGAGAAATCCGCGATATAAAGTAACAAAAGCATTGTTTACCTTTTACTCGGATTTAGGTCAACCGGAAGTGGGTAATCGAGTAGACTTTGATTTTAAAATTTTGAAAAAATGAGATTATCGACCAAAATGATTGATTTACAGCTTTTCAACAGTATTTTTTATATTATTTTATTGCTCATTAGAGAACATGTTTGTCATTTCGAAGAAGAAGAGGTGCCTTCTGTCCTCCTGATCTCCATGGATGGCTTTAGACACGATTATATTGAGAGGGCTAAAAAGTCAGGAAGGGCAACTCCCAATTTTGATATTTTCATTCAAAATGGGGTAAAAACAGAAAGAGGTATGAAGCCAGCATACATATCAAGCACCGCAACCAATCATTATTCTATAGCAACAGGTTTATATGCTGAAACTCACGGGATTATTCACAATCTTTTCTGTGAGCCAGATCTCAAAGATTGTTATGATTTTGAAAATCACACTGCCCTTAGGAAAAAAACAACCATTTTTTCCGAATTTCAACCGTTAAAATCCATTGCGCAACCATTACAAATCATTGCATAACCATTGCTGCAACCAATTGAAATGGTTTCCAACCATTACATTGCAACCATTAAAATTTGGTTGAAAACTTTGGTTGCATATCATTGAAATTATGGAATCATTTGCAACCATTACAAACCATTGATTGTTTAAGTTGCATTTTACCAAATGGTTGCAACTATTTTCAACCATATTGTGGAAATTATTTAGTTTAAGAATGAGACAATTTCAAACATGAAGAACATACAAGTAAATTGAATGCATTATTATGTTTCAAAATACAGTAGTTCATGTTTATGGGCATATTATTTCTAATTAATTGAAGAGCATAAGGTTTATTCATTTTTGGCACTGGATATGACTTCAAGTTCATTCTCATAGGCATATTATTTCTATAAAGAATAAGGTTTATTCATTTTTGGTACTGAATATTACTTCAAGTTCATGTTCATAGAGATAGTATTTCTATTTTATTGAAGAGAATCAAGTGTATTCATTTTTGGCCCTGGTCATTCTTGTAGTTTATTTGGAAATTCCTTCTTGATTCATTCAGTTTTACTGAACAATACAACAAAACGTTCTGTGGAAATTTTCTGTTTTTCTCCTATCTCAACAAAAAAATGTTTCTGACTAAAAGTACATACATACATATTATGAAACATCAAAGATTGTATTTCCTGCCTCTTATTTATGATTTGGATTAAGCTAGTGCCAAAATAACTGCTTCTTCAATATCAAAGAAGTCTTATTACAACAATTAAGTAGATTAAACTGAAAATGTTTCCAAAACATGATTTTGAAACATCAACATCCTTGTATTTATGCTTTGGATTAGGCAAGAGCCGGATTGATTGTCTTTTCTTCAATATCATTTACAAATCAAAAAATGTTAATTACTATTGGATTGAACTTTAATCATAATGACTGAAAGGGAAATATCTTAAACACTTGAATAGATGATATTTCCTTTTACTAGACATGGTTTTATGCCTATGAGCATGAACTTGAAGTTGGATATGTCTCAAAATTGTATTATGAACTTAAGTTAACTATCGCTAGAAAAAAGGGAATTCATCAAGACCATAGCTGCCAGCTGGCTTCAAAAATCTTAATGTGAATCTCATCTAATTTACTATGATTGTGTCATTATTATGGTAGGGGGGATTCAAAAATAAATTATTCAGACAAAAATAATTCTTAAAAAAAGAATTAATTTGTAATGATTTTGTTAAACTATCAGAACAGAACTTTATCTAATTGGCTGTTCAAGGGTTATAATTAGCATTTCAATGGTTATAATTAGCTTTTCAATGGTTATAATTAGCATTTCAACCGTTGCCGCTCTGTCTGTGCAACTGTTGCTGCTCTGTCTTTGTACCTTATCTGAATTCAATAATGTGAAATCTTAATTCGTATTTCTACAATTTTCTTAATGAAAATAAGCCAGCAAAATTAAACAATATTGAATTGAAACAAAAAAGAATCCTTATTTTCTTACAAGATTTCTGCATTTTTCATTCTCCTTAAAAACGATACCTGATAAGTGATTGCAATAGTCATAGAAATAAGTGTTTAAAATCCTATGGATTAGATTAAATGATATATACAAATAAGTGTATGTTTTTTGTTGTTCTGGAAGTGACGTCAGACTTGTCATTGAGAAAAAGATCCGAGACACACAAAGTCCAAAAAAAATTCTTTAATGAGAGAAGAGTGTGATAGACTGCAGACTACAGACATGCTTACTTAAAAAAAACATACTAATAATATCGCCATAGCCCAACATTATTTCAAATTCATGCGGTTTTTCACCATATTGAGGACTTTTCAAGTGATTTTGGCCAATTTTTGGCCATAGTTATAAAATATGAATCCCCTTGTAAATGTGTCAAAAGTGCAAAAGCTGGCTACAGGTCTGCCCATGAGCATTCATTTTGAGGATTAATGGTTGCAATAGTTGCAGTTCCCAATCAATGGTTGCAATCAATTGTAACTGTTAATTTCAATGGGTAATGGTTGTAATGGTTTTGCAATGGTTTCTCAAAAATGGTTGCGTAACCATTGCAACTTTATGTAAAAAGGGTTGAAAAGATTGGGTGAAGTAATGGTTGCGCAATGGTTTTGAATGGTTGATATAATGATTTTTCCTTTGATCTTCAAGGTTGAAATGATGGTTACATGATATGCAATGAAACCATTGAATTTCGGAAAAAATGGTTGTTTTTTTTATAAGGGCGATCAAAGTGAAAGTAAATGGTATAAAGGAACACCGATTTGGATAACAAATGAGCTCAACCCAGACAAAAACTATCGTAGTGGCGTGTATCAATGGATTGGCGGAGAGGCAGAGTTTAATAATCGAAAAGCATCAGATTCAGTGATATACGGATATGCAAATCATACGATCCCTTGGGAAGTTCGTGTTGATACAGTCCTTTCCTGGTTCACAGACCATAACTCACCTATCAATCTGGGGTTGTTATACTTTCCCGAACCAGACATGGTTGGACACCATTTTGGACCTAATTCGTTTGAGTTATATGACAAAATAGCAGAGCTTGACAAAAACCTTGGGTATCTAATAGAATCATTAGAGAAACATGAGCTTAGTGATAGGATTAATGTTATAATAACAGCAGATCATGGTATGACAGAGAAAAAGCCAGGATGCGATATCTATCTTGAAGACATTTTAAAAGACCCCAGTATATACAAAGTAACAGGACAAAATCCAATACTTCATGTTTGGCCAGAAAAAGGTACCGCATATTTAGTGTGTTTTTTATCTCTGTTTCATTTCTGATATCTGCTGTGATTTTTTAGAGGGAATTTCTTGATAACTACAAGTGCTCCATAAAGTTTGTAAAAAAGTTCATTTTCTCATTCAAATAGCTATGTTGTCCACTTGGATTCTGGGGATATTCCAAATGTTCAAGTGCTTCACAATTCATTACTGTTTCACCTCCAAATTCTGTTCAAATCAAAGTTAGCACCATGCTAAATACTATATGTTGGCAAAAATACCAATTTGGCACCATTTTACTGGCAAAGTTTCTGATTTTGAACAGTTGACAGTTTATTGAATTAATAGAAGATTTTGTTAAAATTTCTATATTCCTTTTACCATTTCACAGGTAAAGAAGAAGAAATATACAACACTTTAAAAAGTTACAGTGGCCATAACTCTCAATATATGAATGTGTATAGAAAGTCAGAAGTTCCCGAAGATTATCACTACTCCCACAGCGAACGTATTGCCCCAATTGTAGTAGAAGCAACACTAGGGGCTGATGTGATACCAGTCCATAAACCACAAATTAATGGTAGCAAACCATATAGTAAGTATTTATCTAATATGTTGAAGAAAAAGATTTTCCTTTTAGTAAATTCTTAGGGGCATCAACCTAAAGAAAGCTTTTATAGCCTGCTCATACTCCAATACGCGATAAAGTTTTAGTTTAGTTCAGTTTAATTATCTCCTGTTTGAAAAGCTCTCATGTTGGGAACAACTTCGTCTACCTCTAATGTGGTTTATTTTACAACCAATGAAAAATCCTTCTAAGCAGATAATTTAACTTTTATTTGTTTATTTTGTATTTTAGAAGGTGGCCATGGCTACAACAACAGTGAGCCTGATATGTTTCCTTTCTTCATCGCTAAGGGACCTGCTTTTAAACAGGTAAGCAACAATAGTTACCATAGTAACCTAAAATAACAAAAACCATACATTTTAAAGATCTCATTGTTGTACAAAATATGTCCATTTGCACCCACTTGAAAATGAGAAAATCATGGAAAATGAAAAATTTCAATTCACAAAAATGGCTCACTTGTTTAATTCATAAATACTTCAAATGTTGTACCCTTTCTTTGGAGCTGTGATATAGCCTATGTGTATATACATACAGTACTGATAACTTTAAAGATCAAATGCAATATATTTTTTCATCATTGACTGAATTTTTACCATCTTTCAATAGGGGTTAGCATTTGTAACAATTGCTACAGTTTTGTAACATTTTGCAGGTTGTTACATTTTGCTTTGTTTGTATGCTTTTCAGGGATATGTTTCCACGACAACTTTTTCAAATGTAGATATCTATAGTTTGATATGTGAGATACTTAAACTTGAGCCAGCAGTCACAAATGGTTCCCTTCATATCATAGGAGAGCTTCTTCTGCAACCCAAGGTGTCTCACAACACTTTTACTGCAACATCTATCACATGTAAGTAAAGGTGTCTCAAAATGTTTTACGACAATATTACATGTGTATAACCATTATGATTGTATGCTGAATGGACTATTTCCTGGGTCTTAACCCTTTACTTTTCAATTAACTTTAAGTTGAAATTGCCAAACCCATATTTTGTTATGTGTATAAATTCAAAATATGAATTTACTTTGGTACTGTACTCTGGTAGAGATTCTGTATACTTAGAAGATCGGGCAATATTGTCTATACTGAGAAGTTTTCGTATTGGAGAGGTATACAGATTTCATCATACTCTCCCATATATCAATTCATTAAGTTAAATCTGTATCTTTTTTTAATAGATAAATAATACAAATAAACATTGTTCTTTGTATTTCAGTTATACTTTCTGTGCTCTTGTGTGCCTGCTTTGCGGCTGTATTCACAATAGTTGCGTGCCGTCACCATCGGAGACATAGACTCAGACACCGGCGCCATCTAAATAGTCATGAATTGAGCCAAAGTATTGCAGATGAGGGTCGACATTCCGGACTTTCAACACGATTATTGACTGAATCTGATTTCGATGATGAAGATGAACTTTTAAGCTGAATGTGTTCATTTCTTAGAAATCCATAAAATGCAAGGAGGATTGGTACCCAGAATGCAAACTTGATATTTTCCAACAATGAAAATGATTGTCATTATTGTCTGGCATTGAACTGGTAGCAATTCTTGAGGTTTGAGCTAATATATTGATCACTTCTTGAGTAATGTTGATCACTTCTTGAGTAGTGTTGATCACTTCTTGAGTAATGTTGATCACTTCTTTAGTAATGTTGATCCCTTCTTGAGTAATGTTGATCACTTCTTGAGTAGTGTTGATCACTTCTTGAGTAATGTTGATCACTTCTTTAGTAATGTTGATCCCTTCTTGAGTAATGTTGATCACTTCTTTAGTAATGTTGATCCCTTCTTGAGTAATGTTGATCACTTCTTGAGTAATGTTGATCACTTCTTGAGTAATGATTATCACTTCTTGAGTGTTATGTATTTTTTTTGTTATAAATAAGACCAAAACTCAGGATTCAAAATTTGAAATGAAAATCATGACATCATTAGGATCAGATTCATTGTTGGAAAATATCGAGATTGCATTCTAGGAGCCAAATCCTTGTAAAATAAAAGTTTACTTTTCAACTTTGTTTCTGTGGCAATGAAAATGATATGGTATATATTAACAATATCAACTGTTTCTATGGTAACATAGTTGAAAACTTTATCCATATGAACAGCACATAAATGCACTACATGTACATAGTGTTAGACCAGGGTGCAATAGTAGTGCTGGCCCAGATAGAGGACTTAGTGTCAATTATGCCCTTCTAGGTGATTTTTAGCTTTATTGTACAATGTGTGAATCTGAGACGGGATAATTGGAGTTGTGGGCTGCCATCTTGTTGATCTAGTACCTATATTATTTTGGTTAGTGTTTGGGGCAACAGAAAGATGGGGGTTTACGAAAAACACAGACCACCGACCACCGACCAGTCACTCTCCACAGTTGGGTACATGTGGTCGGTGGTCGGCTGACGGTCTTTTACATTAAGATGAAAAAATGCAAAATTAGAAGTAAAACTAAAACTGGGAATCCAATGACTATAGTACCTTTACTAGGTCGTGATTTAAAAACGTATAATTAATCATTTCAAATCACGATGAAAACGTTACATCGTCGTGGTGTGTAATGTCATATTTTTAAGTGATGTTTCAGTTGTTAGAAGACCAATTTCATCCTGGTTAGTCACTTTGGAAAATAACGCACGTAACATTGCATTAAGTTCATTCATATGAAACGCAATAACAAAAACACACAAACATCGTTGATGTTGACGTCGGTATGTTATGTTTGATTTCTCAGTTGTTAAACGTCAACTGGTAAAAACTACATTTGATATGACAAAAAAAGCTTTCTAATGGTGTACTGAAATGGTAAGTCACTTTTAATCCCGATAAGAGAACGCATGTAGCATTATATTGTGTTCAGTATTCAGTAGGCTATGACGATAACAAATCATTTTTGTTTCAAAATTGTTAAACCTGCACATCGCTCCAAAATGCAATATGTTGACAAATATTGTTTTTACATTTTCAAGCTCTAATATAAAGTTTATGTAAATAAAAATTGTTTTTTCTGCATAATATCAAAGAACAATCATTTAGTTAAAAAAATAAAAAAAAGTTTGTGCGGGATTCGAACCCGGGCCTCCTGCGTTCTGAGCGAGCATTCGACCGCAAGGCCAACGATGTATTATGAATATTCTGAGTAATTAAACGCAACTTAGGTTTAATGCTATAATTCGGAAGTGACGTCACATTCTTAATTTAGAAACCTTTCCAGAGGGGGAGAAACACCAGGGTTCAAAGATGACATACGCTTATAATGTAAATCTGAATTGAGATGACATCGTCGCTGATTGGTCAAAAGTCAACAAACAAATGATGTCAATAAATTTTCGAAATATGCTTCGAATAATATCATGTTCATTTCTGGCGTGTTAACCAATATCATAGCTTCTCATTTCACACCAAGATAAGGAAAGGTGTACGGAATATGCCTTTGTCAATTAAAACATCCCATTGAAGTGTAATATTTGATAAGTACCGATGAAAATTTGAACGAACGAAGGTGGTAAGCAAGAGAGGTAATTCATGTCTGTCATCTTAAAACTCTGGGGCTTTCCCTCCTCTTAAACCTTCCCAAAATCATATCGTCGTCACCAATCGAAGTAATTCGATGAACAATCTTTGAAATGACACATTCATCGTAAGTATTTATACACAAGATTTGCCCCATTTGTTCATCATTCTATAATCTTTCATTAAGCTCAAAATGATAAAGTTCACCCGAAACAACCCAAGATTGCGTTTTGGAGCGATGTGCAGGTTTAAATTTCATAAAAAGAAACAATAGGTTGGTTAATGATAGGTTAGGACCTAAGGCAGGACAATTAATCGAGAGGAAACGGATGCCCAATTTGTTTGCTTGCCATTCGTTGCAAGGTACAAAATCGGTAAAACGTTGCCTAGTCCAACGATTGACATTCAAAATCAAATTATTAATATTTTAAGGCTACAAATATGTTCAGTCTTTTACATGATATAGTCAGTCTTTTACACATTTTCTTCAAACCCTGTTTTGAGGCTACCAGTGGAAAACACCGACCGGTCGGTGGTCGGTGGGGTCAGTCTTTTTCGTAAACCCGAAAGATGGCGTTGGTATGGTAGTAAGGAGACCTTGGAAACAGACAGACTGCTACTGCCATCTTGAATTGGTCTAGTGCCTTTGTATTTACCCTTTATCACCACATATTTAGAGGTTACGTCACGATAACGTGAAATATGCCTGAGTTCTCCCAATATAGGCAGACCTCTATATTTGCCAAAAAGGCCCATTTTTGAGGCCCTACAAATTCTTTTTCTGGGCCCAACCAAGTGGGGATCCACCAGTGTGGCCCATCTCATCTTGATCATCATATCATATAATATTGATTTGTATATCTGGAGTAAATTTGTACATACTTGTGGGATATATTTATTTTTATTATTAAGGTGCTAAATTATCTGATTTATGGTGGTAAACTAATGGAGAGAATAACAAATATATGGAGGGGTAGAGTATAAAATGTTTTATTGTTTGTTTTATCCTTGGTCACCCTTATCGAAACATGTGATTTATGTATTATTTTTTAACTCAAGGAAGGAGAAATATTGATGTGATTGTTGAATAATTGAGTTTAATATATGTTTATACAGGGTGACACAAAAAATTTATTTTATAAGATTTTGTGTCACTCTGTACATTTATAAGAAAAGTGTAATTTCATGATTGTTTTAGTATTTTATTATTTTGCAATAAAATGGACCATAAATGTATGATAATATTTTTGTCTATTTACAGTACACCCCCTCCATAAGTTTGGCAACTGGAAGTTATCACTTGGTAGCATATCAAAGCCGGTCATGCTCTGAATCTTCGTTCCTTAATTACAATATCGAGCTCAAAAACTTTGGTAAATGTTAGAAACCTCCTATTCAGACTTTGATGAGATTCAAAAGGCTACTTCGGGTTGCCAAACTTATGTGAGGGAGTGTATCTCTACGTTTTATATATTAAAAATTCTAAAATCAAGTCAAATCTAGCAGCCTGTGAGGATCCATGAAACACCTTCAAAAGAATATCACGATCCTAAATCACCCACTTGACGTTAATTTTGACATGGGCGTTTATTTGAGAGTACTCACCAGTATTTGACATCGGCGTTTATTTGAGAGTACTAATCAGTGTTATTAAGAGTGAATTATTAGTAATTACACTTTATGTTGCCAACCCCCGTTTCAATATTTACCGCATAATCTTTCAGCCTTTTATGTTATGAATTTGTCAATATTTTGATTTTCTATCAATTAAATGATCGACATACTTGGATCAGAGATTCATTGTCCCGGGATGAAGGCGGGCTTGAAGACATATAGGAAAAAAAGTCAAGTTACATCTCCGTCCTTATTATCAGTTTGTTTGTTCCAAGTTATGAAAATATAAGTATAAACATAGAGGTGCTTAAACACGTAAGCCTTTTGGGGAAAAGGTTGCCAAGTTTATGTCTAGGGGAGTGTAGGATGAACCTCATAGAAAGTAGAAATGTTTTCTAACACATTTGAAAGATGTCGCTTAATATCATTTAACTGATCTTGCGCATGCGCAGTACGGTTTCATCGTAGGGCGAGGTCGGTCGATGTTCAGAAATTCAGTGACTATTTCTACAGGATTTAACCAATTTGCGACACAATGGCTGCTCATATAGAGATGTATATCAGGGTAAGTGTCATTTAAATTTATTCATAGGGTAAAGAAATTCTAGTCGACGTTGTCCTAATCGTTAGATATGTACATTTCAAAATTTGTCTCCATTTCATTTTTCACGATTTTTTCAATTTTTTGAAATTGAAGTGATGAATGAGTGACTCAGTATGTCAGGAATGTAACACAGGGGTTTCAATAAATATTTTTTCAACAGGCTTTTTGGCAATTTCAACAGGCTGAAACTTATTTCACTTAAAATAACTTAAGGTTAGGTAAGTAACAGTGAATTTTATTTCTACATATTTGAACAGGCGTAATTGAGATTTGAACAGGCATTTTCGCCACCCGCCTGTGCTTATTGAAACCCCTGTAACAACTCGTCGAATTGAATGGATGAAGCGGAAATGGAAAACGGCAATTATTTACAGTTATTGTCATGAAATGTAGGCTGTTAGATATTCTACTTGCCAGAGATCATGAGATTTTTTCCCGATCTTCTGCTTCAGAGGCTAGATATTGTCTGCGCTACTTTGAAGTCCTGAATTCTAACATTTGTGTGTAGATCTATGCATGATATAGTTGATTTTATAATAAGCTAAGATTTTAGACATCTAAAAAGTCACTCGACTTTTTTTGTGATTTTGAATCACAGAAAGCATTCTGAAGTTTCAGATTGGCGCCATGTTTAATTTTTGGCATCCGCATAATGTATACCACTTACCTTTTATTGATTCTTTCATAAGTTTCGTCATAAACTCAGTTTGACCAGAATTATCTTTGTTGCCGCTCGATTTTTTAAAAATGTCCCTTTTCTAATCACCCGGATGTGCGGTTTACTTGGACTTGGCCAAAAAGAGGGGTGTCAAACGCAAAATGGTAGAAATGAAGACATGTCGCCACTCTCAGAGAATCTATTCCCTAATTTCAACATTACTACACGGTTTTACAAGCGAAAAAGATAAGGGCAGATTGTATATAGGACTGGACAAGATGAAAATAAATATTCTAAATAGATGACACCCCTTTCGAAATAAGATGAACTGAACCTATCACGTCACCGATTTCGTGGAAGAAATTACGTCAGAAAAACAAAAGCTCCTTAGAGAATTTTCACTTGAAATGTTGAAAAGCAAGCCCAGTTTTCTAGGGAGTATACCGTAATTAATAGTTACGTGTACAATATTACCGAGTTCAATGGTGCATAAGTTAGGCGGTGGATCATTTTGTAAGTACGACAATGTGAATTCATGGGACTGTTACTTTTTGGAAGGTTTTTTGCAAAAAAGTCGAGTGACTTTTTAGATGTCGAAAATCTTAGTTAAAACATTAACATCAACGTAACATCAGATGTTTTTGAATTGGTCATGATTTTTGGTCCAAAAATGAAGATGTTGTACCACAACCGAAGATGCTAAGGAATTTGATTGGTTCAAAAAATGCACGATCCACCCACACACGGTGTATGCAGTGGTGCTCTATTGAAGTTAATCCCTCCCCTCTTCTATTGAAGCGAATACTATTTTCTAATAATGAGACTTATATTTAAATATCTATTGTAGACATTAGATTTTTTACTCATAGTGGCAAATAGAACTAAATTAACATGTAAAGATCTGTTGTTTCTTTTAAATATCTTTAATTCATGTCATTTTGAGTGAAAAAAAACAAATTCATGAATATAAACATGGTAGAAAAATGAAAAACTTCAAATTCAGAATCAGCACATATCCAGGGACTGGTGAATGTCTACTTGGGTTTCTACTTGGGTTTGGCCCTTTTGGAATTTAGAGAATTTAACTCTGAAGTATATATACACAGTGAAACCTGCATATCCAAACACCCATCTAATATGAACACTTCATAATATGAACACCTCATAATATGACCACCTCATAATCTGACCACCTCATAATATAAACACTTGGTAGCAAGTTTGTTATGTCCAATATAGACTCCCATATTAAAAAATTTAAACAGCTGCAAATCTGAACACGTTTTGCCAGTCCTAATGGCATTCAGATTAAGACAGGTTTTACTGTGTATCCACAGGCCAACAGTCATGATATTAAAACACCATTTGACATCACTATAAATTAGTATATTGCAATAAATCATGCTCACGGCTTTCATGATTTGTTTAATCATTAACGAATGGCTGCCTAAATTAATCACTCCGCATATTGTTTTTATGATGCAAGGCAAGCCAGTGTATAATATAACACACTATGATTTATGAGTATCTCTTTTCATTAGCAGCTTTATTACAACTCACTCGTGAGCCCTTACTGTTAAAAGAGTGTATTCGTTCAGTCATATGAAATATCTTGATTAGTGATCTATACAGAATTTTTTCTCAAGTGGGTGCAAATTCTCATTTTCACAATACAAGCCAAAATTGGTCAAAATATGCGAATGCTTGATAGACCAAGATGTTGTGAGCCTGGTACTAATGATACTTTGATGAGATGAATACCAGTATAATCCACTGTAGTGACTGTACTGCATTGTATTATTGTATTGTAGAGTCTTCTACATGTATATTGTATCGTATTATCCATTGCATCATTGTGAAAGAATTACATGTAGTAACAGAGAACCAGGTGATCTCTCCAGCATAAGAGCATTAAGCGCAGAACCCAGTTACAGGGGTTTCAATAAATATTTTTTCAACAGGCATTTGGCAATTTCAGCAGGCTGAATTTTTTTCAATCGTTCGCCGCTCGCTTCGCTCGCGTTCGACTTCGCTCGCTTTCTACTTCATTTTTGGAGGTGCTCGACTCAATATATTGAAAATAAAAGCATATACAGGGTCCCCATATGTAAAATCATAAAATCAAAATTTTCCTGCCACTTTATTGCAAACTGTATATTTGATCAATTGATCTCTTTGACATGTTCATTACTTTATGTGTTTTTATGTCCCCACCACATAGTGTGGGGCCATATTGTCGGCCTAGGCGCGTCCGTCTGTCTGTCCGTCCGTCCGTCCGTCTGTCCGTCCGTACGTCCGGGAGTTTTCTCCAAAACCGCTACAGATATCACCTTCAAATTTTCAGGGATAACTTATGAGTGCATACAGATGTGGATGACAAATTTTTAACTCGATACCTACTTCCTGTCGGCCATTTTGAAGTCAAATGCTAAAATCCTTGTCTGCAAACTTTAAGAAAAACGGCTTTTAAAACTTTAACATCTTGTTCAGCTCACTTCATTCTAGATCTGATTAGGTTTTGAACCTGTTAGCTCAGTCATGTCAGCCATTTTGAATGTTTTAAGAAAAGATAGCGCACGATAATACTTTGTATCATATTGAATGGTGTTTTTGAGTTTTCATACTTTAACTATTTAGTAGCTTTATAAATAATTTCAGATGTACTTTGTTGTAAAAGCCTATGTTATTGTTAACAGTAGTTATATGTGATAATTTTGTAAGAAGAAATCAGCAAAAACACATAATCACTTTTTTATTGTCGGCCATTTTGGATTTTTCCGTCCTAAAATCTTGTTTGTGAAGTCTTGTCTACGTGTTTTCAGGTGAACCATTTGGTGGATCAATTTCAAATTTTCAGGGATGATTTTTAGTATAAAAATCTAGATCTGATTTGTTTTTTGGCATTCTGGGTAAATGTCAAGGCAGCCATTTTGGATTTTCCGTCCTAAAATCTTGTCTGTAAAGTCTTGTCTACGCGTTTTCAGGTGAACCGTTTGGTAGATCAATTTCAAATTTTCAGAGATGATTCTTAGTATGAAAATGTAGAACTGATTTGTTTTTTGGCATTCTGGGTAAATGTCAAGGCAGCCATTTTGGATTTTCCGTTCTAAAATCTTGTCTGTAAAGTCTTGTCTATGCATTTTTAGGTGAACCGTTCTGTAGATCAATTTCAAATTTTTTAGGGATGATTCTTAGTATGAAAATCTAGATCTGATTAGTTTTTTGGCATTCTGGATAAATGTCAAGGCAGCCATTTTGGATTTTCCGTCTTAAAATCTTGCCTGTAAAGTCTTGTCTACGCGTTTTTAGGTGAACCGTTTGGTAGATCAATTTCAAATTTTCAGGGATGATTCTTAGTGTGAAAATCTACATCTGATTAGTTTTTTGGCATTCTGTGTAAATGTCATGGCAGCCATTTTGGATTTTCTGTCCTAAAATCTTGTCTGTAAAGTCTTGTCTACGCGTTTTCAGGTGAACCATTTGGTAGATCAATGTCATATTTTCAGGGATGATTCTTAGAATTTTTAGCATGAAAATCTAGGAACAGATTAGTTTTTTGACATTCTGGGTAAATGTCAAGGCAGCCATTTTGGATTTTCCATCCTAAAATCTTGTCTGTAAAGTCTTGTTTACATGTTTTCTAGTTAACTGTGTGACGGATCAATTAAAAATTTTCAGGGGTGGTTCTTAGTTTGAAAATCTAGAACTGACTAAATTTTTGGCATTCTGGGTAAATTTTAAGGTGACCATTTTGGATTTTCCGTCCTCAAATTGTGTTGATAAAGTCTTGTCTACTCATTTTCAGGATAACCATTTGATGGGATCACCCATTGGTGGGGACATTTTGTACACATTTGTGTTCTTGTTTAAATGTTGCCCCTTGTGCTTCCTCACTGTGATGTAAAATATTGAAATCAGTATTTTCCTGTCACTTTAATGCAAATTGTATATGAGCAATTGATTTCAATAAAGCAGATCAATACATAATTTGATTTTTAATTAACTTTTTACTTGTTAATTAATTTGTGTTTTTCAAATGTTGCCCTTTGTGCTTCCTCAATATGATGTAAGATAATGCCAAGAAGATCAATTGTATTGATTTATACTGTTTATTTCAAGTATATGTGTAACTGTAATAATAGTACATGTAGTATCCATTGAAACAAAAGGGGTGGCAGGACATTGCTACTGACCCATTTAGTCTCAAAGCATAATGTTTTGGTTTGAGAGTAGGTCAATAAAAATGGTGGCCGAATTACAGTAAAATAATTATCTCAGTGTTTCTCTAAAACACTGCTGATTA